TTTTCAGTTTGTTTAGAACATGGGCTGGCTTTAAAGTTACTAAAAGCTGCATTTACTTAGTGTGGCTACAATTGTAAGCATAGTCTTCTGACATAATTTTCCAGTCATTTGATTCATTTTCTGTCAATTTCATTTCAATTTTATTTCAGAGTATATCTATATGTATAGTAAGCATTAAATAGGATTTGATTTATTTCTTCTGAAGTCTAATTACCTGACTGGATGAGGTTTCAGTATTGCATAGTAATAATCTTACTGGGTCATCTGGCCACAGTCCGCTTTCTGCGTGCCCTCAGAGATAGGGTTTTTCATGAAATTAGCATGTGTGAGGACTCAAATTGCTCCTTCGGTGCTTTGGAGAAGCTGAGCGCCATTACGAACATATCGTTTTGGAAGTGTTGACATATTGCTCTCCACATGGCACCATTGTTCGAATGAAATTAAAAATGAATTGAGAGTGATAATAGAGTAGGTAGGTTCTAGGCAGGTTTTAGGCAGATTCTAAGTCTACGTATAACAAGGGGGGACCAATGCATGGTGAAGTTTGATAACAGTTTGTTACCTCAAATAATGAATAGAACAATTCATAAGGTTTAAATTTAGCTCCCTTTTGAATAGCCTAGCACGCAGAAATGGAAGAGGAGCTCAGATCACACCGGTATCCTGAATGTATCTGTTTTGTTTGGTCTCTGGGAGACGTGCAGCAGTCCCCTTTCCTCTTTTGTTTTTCTCATTGTGCACTTTACAGGCTGGAGATGGGGAATAGATCAAACGCAGAATGGATGAGCTGTTTTGCAAGATCCCTCAGTCTTAACGGATTTCAAGGCTGGCTGAGGCTGTATGTGCGCTGCTTGGCTGCTTGTGTTGTGTGTGTCAGTGTGGGCGCCTTCAGTTTAGATGTGTGTAATATGCATGCACATGCAAATTTATGTGAATGTGTCTACAGAGTGCCTGTGAGGCTGCAACTTTGTTTTTATCAGTGTGTACAGTGCTCCTCTAATTCAGCACCACTGGTTAATAAGGGAGCATTAGATCCACTATATGCACTACAAGCCTATGTATTCCCATCCCATTCTTTTTTTAGGCTCTTTTATTCCCAGCAGCATTGATGACAAAGACATGTATATCATAAATAATTAATTCAATTGACTTAAAATTATCTGCATACTGTCAAACTCTCCCCCTTCTAGACCTCATAGACAAACATAATAACACCAAACACACCAATATCAAAGATGTGGGATCAACTGAACAAGTGTAGAGCGAGGCAGCCAACTGAGCTGTGACTGTGATTAAACAAAGAATGAGCTTTTTTCTCTTGAGTCACAGAAAGCTCTCATGGAAAACAGAGGAAAAGTCCCTGAACTGGTGAGCAGTATGTTTCCAGCAGACAAGATGAAGACATTTGGACAGACAGAAAGTCTGCTGCATGCTGTTGTACAGGGACAGTGACTGTGAGGGCATCCATTCTGTCTGTGTGCCCAGTGGGTGCTGTCGGACTCTAGTGCCCCTTTGAAGAGTGGTTACACCAAAGACTACACCCCAGAGCTTGGCCTTCATTTCACCCAAAAACACTGCAAAATTATTCACTATCTGCTTCTTAAGGCTCAGCAGTCAATGACATTTTCAGACTGCATATAACCTATTGAATAACTGAGACAGGTAAACTAATGTCTCTGTTATTAAATTGTTTATTGTGGATAACATAACAAAAATAAAATATGAAGTTATGAGTTATATTTAAAACCTCCTCAGACCATGCACTGTTAGTCATGCACTGCTCAGCTTTTGAGACAAAATGTTGAACTTTCTCCAACCTTTGGTGCACCATATGGTTTCTACCAGTTTGTGTCTAGATGGAGAGCTTTGCCTACAGCATGTTTTGAATTAGCCTTGTTTCACCGGAGGACGAGTAATACCAAGAAGATGAGTTGGAGATGGCCCCTATTTCCAGTTCATTGCAGAGAAAAGCAGCACTTTGCCAATGGTATTACATGTTTTTCTAACAGCCCTGCTTGTCGTTCAAATAATGTGAGTTCTTTGCGTAGTGGGCGTTGTGTAGTTTAAAAGCACCATATAACACTGATACAGCCTGCTGTAATGTCCACTGATGGGTACAAACAATCTGTTTTTCAGCTCAGCCCTGACTGCTGAGATTGCAAAATGTATCTATAAAAGTTATAAGTCCTTCTTTTATATCACCTTTGGGTATTTTTGCTTTGCTATTCCTTGACTCACACAGTGTCAGCACACCTGTGAGGGGAGCTGTTCAATTGCGGCTCATTACAGCAGTGCGACACCAAAGTGCTTTAGCCTGGATACAAGTGGGCCATGTGACATTATGTCTGATAATGGAGGCTATTGCTTCTCTCATACGTGATAGATGCATCTGTCAGCGCACCATCTCACCACACGCTATTGGACACAGCACTTTTCTGACAGAAATACCAGCCAATCCAGTCGCTTCAGTGAGCAGCCAGCCAGACCTTTTCTGCTTCTGTAATTTCCAGTTGCAGTCCATGCCGTGAGTAATCCCTCACAGGCATGTCTCTCCCCTCTGGTCCTGGTCGGTCTATACCTTTCTCTTTTAGCTCTCATATAACCTCTCAGTCTTTCTGCTGCTATTCCCCTCCTTGTTCTGGCTGTCTTGTGTTCTGGCTGCTCATTCTTTGTCATTGATTTCCTTGCCATTCACCAGAAACCCAGTGCACCTCCTCTGTACATGATTGACATTCCTCTTTCTATCTTCACTCTCCATTTATTGCGTCTGCTTTTTGACTATTCCCCTCACTCTTATTACAGCCCACTCAATCTCCTGCCTCACTGCTCCTCTCCAAAACAAACTGTGCACACTCCAGCAACACCCTTCCACGTAATACTTGATTCTTTTTTCATACTAAATTCAGAATTAATAAACAACATGCCGTCTCCATTATTTATTTACTTGTACACAAATAAGAGTGTGGGGACAAGCAATATTTAGCTTCCTCGCCATGATGAAAGCCTAATAGATTCTGGGCTTTGCAGCTGTATAATGAGGGTTTATGCAATGGTTTGCTTCCCAGGATTAATGACATAGTTAAGGTTTCCCGCTTGAGTTTTTGTATTTTGCCTAAATATTCAAGACACTGGTGAGAGAATGACACAATCAGTCATTTTCTTACCTGGTTGACATTAACTCTGCTTAGTTTGATCAATGAATCTATTAAACCTATTGTGTGTTCTTGCTGCAATAGAAAGCTCCTCCTTGCGACTGTTTGAATACATTCTAAAATGTTAGGTAGAATAATTGCTGCATTAAAGGCTTTCAGTCAGTTTGATAAATGTCACAGTGTTTCCAGCTTACATTAAGTGAAGATACAGCTCTTCTTGTAAATGGGAGTGTCTCTCTCAGCTCTGAAGCCACCAAAAGGCCAGTTCCTCCCCTGTCTCCTTGTGATGTATTTTTCTTCCTGGACTCTTTTATCCATGTGCGTTTTTGGTGGTAAGTCCACACCCACCCAGTCTTATTAGCCTCTTTGTCACCCTCAGGGCTCAGGCCTGTTCTGATGCCCGCTGACTCAAAGAACCAGTTCCCACCTCCCACACCTCTGCGGCCTGACAGCTGATTGTGGACGCTGATTGCAGAACACCACATTTCAGGTTTATTTTTTTGGTTCAGTAATGGGAGCATATTCTGTGTCTGCCTGTGTTTTCTTCTGGCCATCGCTGACAGCAGCTGTACACTGTGTTGTGCTCTGGGTATGAGCTGGGCTATTTGTGCGCTAGGTGCTGTTTACACCGGAGAAAATGAAAGACCAGGTCTTTTTGATCACATACTCTCAAAGGATATCTTTGATTCAGCCAGCTCTTTCTTCATGTCTCCCACTGCATGCATCAGACTTCATCATCAATTTGAGGAAAGCGCTTAAATGGCCTCCAAAAGGCCTGATCACCATGAAAAGAAAGCGATTCTCACTGGTATTATTGGACAATTTAGCCTTGAAATAAAGTATGAGCAAGCCTTGACACTTGTTTATTTACTGTGCAGCTGTTTCATGTACAGCTTCAGTCACTGGTCACTAACCAGCTGGCTCTCTCAAAACAGCCTAGGCATACACTAGTGCTATGTTGTCAGTCATTACATATCTTTCTCAGATTTTGCCCAAAACATGGCCATTTCCACTGGCAAAACTCAGCAAACTAATAAATACCTTCAGTTGCCTTCAATTATTACCAACTACTACCAATTTCATGAGAAATTTTCTCAGAATTTTTCACATGTTGTATAAACTTTGGGGTTTTGAAGTAACAGAAAATGCTCTGTATAGGACGATTACACTGTACAATGTACTGCAAGGCTCTAGAGAAAGGTTTTTGTGGAATATAAAAATATCAACCTTGGTTTGAGTAGAAGTATGTTAAGTCTTCCTGACATCTCGCAAAATGTGGAGGAATTTTAATGCAACCCAGGATATTATTTCAGTTTATAATGGAAAACATGTAAATCTTCAAGGTCACATTGTTCAAAGTTTTGTTGTTTTGAAGCATTTTTTGTGTTTGAAGCAAGGTGAAAATGTGCAGAAAAGAAGTGAAAACTCACATCCCTCTGCACTTGTTTGCTGAATGGAGTTTGATGGTGACAAAGTTGAGTGTGTTCTGCCTGTACATGTGAGCACACTGTGGAGCAGGTAGGACTGTGAGGTGAAGGTGTGAATCCCCTTTCCAGCTCTAATGAGGAGCGGGACGAGGGCTGAGGCTCTGCAGGACTTAGCTGTAATTGGCTTAATGAATGCATTCTGTTGCCTCTGATTGAACACATGCCCTGAGTCGGCTCTGGGAAGGGGACATTGCCTCATCTCTCCTCACTCTAACTTTGGTGATCTCTCAACTGCTTCATCTCCTCTGAAGGTCACTTGGATTGTCCTATAGAAAAGACACGCTGGAAATTAATTGTTTTTATTGGCTTAACTGGTACTAGCTGCGGCTTATCTAGTTGTATGTTTGTGTGCTCTTTGCAGATTGGCCTGTGGCACTCTGAAGATGGACTGTCTATGGAGAGAAAGCTTCCATCAATCAACGTGACAGAAACCCTCTTCAACACCACCCTGACCATCACCACCATATTGGTAACAGCGTCACCATGAGCACATATACAGACAGTGCTCCACATGAGCCTGACAGCCTCCGTTTGACAAGACAATTACCATATCAAAAAGCCATTTGGTTTTTTCAGATCTAAACTGGGATCCTCTTGGGGATGAGAGGAAATGATGCTGTGCGATTGTTTTTGCCCTGAGTGCTTTGGATGAGGCTGCATCACAGTGCATCAGTAGGAGAGCTAATAATTCAGCATGTCAGCCTTTCTGTGTCTGTGTTGTAAATATAGATCCTAAGAGTGGTATCGCAACTCACTACTGTCACCACACACAACCTGTTAGCATCACTGCGCTTTCTCAGCCCTTTGTTTATCAGATCACATGTTGCCAGCACTACTACTCTATTAAGTGCAAAAGGAACAAAATGTCTTAATTTTCTACAAATATAACACTCCCTTTAGACACACATGCCCACTTTTCTAGTTCTAAATAACAGAGTTTCTAATTAGTTTTTGTTAATGAAAGGTCACTGAATATCCTTGCACTTTGAAGCAACAACCTGTAAAATTGACATGTTTTCCTCCTGTGAAAACAAAAACACGTGTATGGAAGACTTTATTAAAACTATATTAAAAGGCCTCTAAAAATCAATACAATTCTCAAATATGCCCTTGGCATTTGCTCTTTTTATTGTTCCACTAAAAGCAAAATATCTAAGGATTTTAAGTCAATAGAACAGAACAATCTTTCAGTGTCGGTAGGAAAGAAGGCAAAAACAATCAGAACAACATACTGTAAAAGCTTAGATGCCAGAGGAGGAAATGAAACATTTTTGCTTGTGTTCATGTACAATGCAGTGTTATGCTGTTCACACACAGTGGCACTGAGGAAAAGACCACAGGTGGAAGTGAGGGTTGCAGACCTGAGGTTGTAGAGGTAGGATTAGGAATTAGTGCATCAGCGAGAGACCTCATGCTGCGTTCCAGTACTTTAAGTACTATCAATATTATAACTGTCATCTTTTTAATTTTCACCATACACAGGGGGCCACCATGTTGGATTTTCTAACTCCAGCTCTGAAAAGATTTCTGAGTATAAAAGTTTAGCATCACAGGGCATTCCAGTTGTTATGCACAAATCCGAATACAGTTGACATTGCCATAGACGCCAGATTGTGTTAGTTTGAGCACATACAGAGGGATTGGGATTATAGCATTTGAAAGAGGAAGGATTTATTGATCTTTTATGAAAAGGGACACTGGTGTACAAGAGGAGGGTGCAGAGGACAGGGACAAACTGTAATGTTCTTTCGTGAGTTCTATTAAAACAGGTTTACTATAGAGATAAATGCCTCAATTAAAAACAAAGAAGAAAAATACAATACATATTTTACTAATTTCCTAACTGCATACAGAATTTTCACATCATTTCCTACTGATCCAATTAGAGAGGTGTTTGATCAGGGTCTTGTGTAAACCTGGTGCTGAGCTCTTATTAGCGCTTTTACAGTAGCTTTGAAGCTGATGTGCCGCTGTACCACATCAAAGAGGATAAATGTCTGTATGTGGCAACAGCAGAGAAACAAACAGATTTCACAGCACTTACATGCATTTTATGTCTTTCTTCTCCACATGATAAACACATGGACCGCAGCAGTGTGCACACAAACCTGTCACCGGGCGCTCCTCCTCCTTCTGATGAATCCGATAAGACATAAAGTGGCCTCTGAGCGCAGGCAATTGGCCCAGTGTGTTACTCAGAGAAGGCAGGCTTATCAGCTGTTAGAGAATCAGGGACAAACGCGCTGCCACTAGGCTACTGACCAGCCTCATTGAAAGTGATTGGGATTCAGACGCTACGGTTCATTTCACTAAAGGAGGGAGGGCAGAGCATGAGAGGGGGTGGGACAAATGAGACAGTGTTTTCACAACACAAAGAGGCCGTGGAAGAAAGAATTGGTTGAACACAGAGCTTTGATTTCACTTTGGAGATATAGAGTCCCCAGGCCCAACTTCAGACGCCACCAAGGAGCAATTTTCGGTGCCTATCACAGCTCATTCATCATGGTGTGATTGCTGTGTCGCTGTTATCTCACTTGTGGGCGGCAGACGGGACGCAGCTGAAAAGCGCTCTAAGAATTCCTTACCTGTAACTGGGCTGGAGAGTGGTACTTCCTCCCCTTGTGTTCATAGACAATCTCTTCTAATGTGTGTGCGCTGTGTGTGAGCTGTGTGTGAGCTGTGTGTGTGGCTGCAGTTTCATTACAGTGCATGTGGCTGTCCCCTCCAGGTTCACAAACAGCTCTGGGAAAAAAAGAAGAAAGCAGAATTGATTATGACTTTACTGCAGGGCCACGAGCCATGTGTTTGTAATCATTGATTGAGTTTGTTACAGGCTGTGCCCTGGCCCCACTGAAATAATATCATTACACCCTCACTAGTCATACTAATGGAAAAGCAAAAGTCTATTTTGTGCTTCCTCCTTGTTAAAGGTCCTATACTACACAAAATTGACTCTTGTGAGCTTTAAGCCATGTTAGAATGTTGTTACCTCCTCAAAAACATACCTGGAGCTTGGAGTTTTGTTTCATTCACACATGTTTGAGTAAATTTTAATTATTAGTCTGTCAGAGCTGAAATTATCCAAATGATTATAATGAAGGTGTATGGAGTTTAAAAACACAGTGGAGCACTTCCTGTATTATCATATAACATCACAAGGTGGAACAAAGTGTTCCAGTGAGAGAAGCCTAAATATGCAGACTTTATGTGTTGTGAATATGTAAATGAAACTAAACACAACTCCAGGTATGTTTGTGATGAGGAAACAACATTATAACATAGATCAGAATAGAAATGGAAATAGAATTGAAATAGCATACTATGGGCTATTTAAAAATGCATGCCTCTTTTTTTGGAGTAAAAAGGGTTGATCTGTTCTTTTACATTTCATTTTCTTTGTTCCCAGCCATCTAACTAAGAAGAATTGCTCTTTATTTCAAACCTCCAACTAAGCCCTTAGTCTGCTAAACATTTCTTAATGAAATATTTAGGCACAATGTGGACCTCAATTTAAGATTCTAGCATTAAACTAAAATCACAGTGAAATAATTATGAGAATGGCAAACTCAGTGTTTCTATAAGGCCACAAGCAAATTATTAAATAGCACTGGGTTTTAATATATCACTTATTTAATTAGGCCCTTAAAAGCTACACATGCTCAGAGCCTCTGAGAAGCACAGCTCCACCGTCCAGTCCTGTTAAATTTTAAAGAGCCTACATGGAGCCGCAATGGACCTTAAGGCAAATGTCGTGTTAGATCTAGCAGTTAAATTTCTATTTTTCTGCAGGATCAAAATGGTGAAAATGTATCGGAAGTGTTTCACGTTTCAAAAATCCCTGTGCACCTTATTCTCTTCATGTATGAACTTTATATTTAAAGATCTTTCAATATCCTGTGCTGGGATGTGGAGACACCCAAAGGTGCTCTGTGGTTATGGTTCTGTCACCTGGATGGGTGCTTGTCAGGGCATATTTTAAGTGTTTTGCATGAGCCAAACTTGTCAGTTTATGTGCAGGCAACTGTACTGATTTAATACTTAGAGTCACAATGGTTTTGCTGTGCTATGCAAACGAAGGGAAGAATTTTCCCTAGATTTTATCCTTATGAAACACAGCACTTTCCATACTTTTGTATAGTTAGGTTTATATGATTCTGTGAGCTTCACAGAAGGCAGAAGTGCTCCTTTTGGACCATTTTCTGTTATTTTGCTGTTATTTCGGAAGAGCAACTACAGCTATAGCCCCTCCATAGCAATTGTGTTTTCATTTCACCCGCATAGATGTAGTTTGAACACATTTTTGTGGGACATTTCATAGAAAAATAAGCTCACACTGTGAAAGATATAGAGCAATATAGATGACAAAACAGAAAATTACCAATGACTTTATAAGTGATTCTGCTGTGTAATTAATTGCTGTTGATTTGTACTTTTCTGATGTATAGATATATAGAGCTGTGTTGTCACACTTATTTATTCACTTTTTTGTGGGATTCATTCAGGTGACCCAGTAGCATACTGAGTTGTCCCATGGCTCTTCTGTTTGCCAAAAAAAATTTTTGCGCAGATCTCTACTAGCCATACATAAGCCACCTCTGTCAGCTTTAGGTTTTCGCCTTTCTCCCGTAGGTATAAAGGTTTTTGAGCATTAGCAGATTTGGGTACAAAATTATTTGTTACTTGTCAACAAGCATTTCATATAGAATCTATGTGCCACTAAATTACTGTAATGATGTAGTGGACATTGGAGTGCAATTGTAAATGTCTGGTCCAGTTTAGCTTGACTGGCGTTGGACTTAGAGAGGACCTGTGAGTTGTGAAATTAGCATTTATATTGTGGCTTATGTACACTGCAACATGAGGACTGAGGAGGTGTCATGGTAAAGCAGGAGGTGATGTAGAGCAAAACAGTCAATACAAACAGATGACTCCGTGCCATAGTTGCCTTTAGAAAGTCTTTTGACATGACAGGCTTTTAATAGCAGTGATCTATATGTGTACTGTCACAAAGACATGTTTGACAAGGCAAGTTCATAGTTTTAAAGTAATAAAGAAATCAACACTGAATGTTTTTACAAGAATATAATATATAATGTATAATTCAACCATTAAAACATAAACTGTGAAAATTCCACAATATCCAGTTCCACAGTTCCATATTAAAGCCACCATAAAGTCTATCACCAACAACTGACACTTCATTAACACGTACAGCAATACGGCTGCTTACTGCCATTCCAATAACTGCATTGTTCTGCTGTGTGTTGTGCCTCAGGCTATTGTCAATAAACATGTAATCTTTGGATCAATAAAATTCTAATATTGTATTTGTGCCACTAAGCCACTGCTGCAGGATGCAGGTATAGTGCGTGCTCCTATATGGCCTTTAAACCGTTGCCATGACAACAGTTTGCCACAGTTGTGGAACTTGACATGCTCTAACTTCATGAAAGTTTCCAAATTTAGTGTGACTACTATTTCTGTCTTGACTCTAAGGGAAATCAATCCCAAGTCAACCAGGCTGAAAGCAAATTTCCAGCTGTGGCAATGACAAAACAATTTCAAGTTGTGTTCCACTTCTTAAATTGGCCTGCAACAGTCAAAAAAAAAACACTCGCAAATAACAAAACAGATTTTAAGATGTTACATTGTGGTGACAGTGGCATGAGTTGTTTGCTTCTAAAATGGCAAACTTGTGTTTTCAGAGTCAGAAAAAGTGCTTTGATAAAAAGACTATAACATTACCTTGTAACTTCATGAACAAAACTTTGCATTTTTTATATTTGTCAGACATGGAGACCGGTTAATCACTGTTAACATTGTGCTGCAAGGAAGTTATTTGCAAACAGCTGCACAGATACATTTCACACATTGCTGTTTTATGTGATGTATGAAGCCCAGACAGTCTCTTCTGACAGTTGCATTATTTGAAAAATGTACCAATAAGATTTCCAAAATAAGGTCTCCAAAAACAATGCAGCCATTCCCTTTAAATCTTTGCACTACATCTAAATGACACTCCGAGGTGTAAATAAAACAATTCAATGGAAAGTGGTTTGTGAAAAAGCAGGTGATAAACAGGTGGGTGTCTGTTTGGGATGGTGAGGCCAAATGGCTTTTGTCTCTATTCACTTTTTTGCAAGATGCGCTTTTCTGTTTTTATTACCACAAATCTCCATCTGTCTAAAACCTATAAACCTGCGATGAACTATGACTTTGAAAGATTGTGCTGCCGGTTCCCCTCACTTTGTCCTCAAAAACAGGGGTTGCCACATTTTTCTCATCACCTCAAAAATGTATTTCTTTTTTTACAAATTAGTTTAATTTTAGACTGAACTAGTGCTCAAATCTAAACCAGGACTAAAGCAGGTGAATGAGCATTACCTGGACAATTATTACCATTGATACCAGCCTGCATCTCTCCATAGTGCAATCTTTTCACTTGTTTATACTTCTTGACAGCAGGGACTTAAAGTGCCTATGACAGGTTGGACTACTCACTTGAGTAAACACACTTAATCCATCCATCCACCCATCCATTTTCTTCCGCTTATCCGGGGTCGGGTCGCGGGGGCAACAGTCTGAGGAGGGCCTCCCAGACTTCCCTCTCCACACACACTTCCTCCAGCTCTTCCAGGGGGATCCTGAGACGTTCCCAGGCCAGCCGAGAGACATAGTCCCTTCCCCAGGGCCTCCTCCCGGTGGGATGTGCCCGGAACACCTGCCGAGGGAGGCGTCCAGGAGGCTTCCGAAACAGATGCCCGAGCCACCTCAGTTGGCTCCTCTCAACGTGGAGGAGCAGCGGCTCTACTCCGAGCTCCTCCCGTGTGAGTGAGCTCCTCACCCTATCTCTAAGGGAGTGCCCAACCACCCTGCGGAGGAAACTAATTTCGACCGCTTGTATCCGTGATTTTGTCCTTTCAGTTATTACCCAAAGCCCATGACCATAGGTGAGAGTAGGAACGTAGATTGACCGATAAATCGAGAGCTTCCCCTTTTGACTCAGCTCCCTCTTCACCACAACAGTCCGATACAGCGACCGCATCACTGCTGATGCTGCACCGATCCGCCTGTCAATCTCATGCTCCATCCTCCCCTCACTCGTGAACAACCGGGTCTAAACACACTTAATAATGTAATAGTTTAAGCTAAGACGTTACTTAAAAAATAACTTTTCCTATTTTGGCCATATTTTGGGTTAAAATTTTTACTTCCTGGTTGGAAATCATGACATGTTATGGAACAGTTACCTATCAACCACATTGTACACTGGGCCAAAACTCCTCTAATGGACACAGAAAATTATGATTTGACAAAAAAAATGTTCCATACAATAAATTGTGCTGAACTCTTGGATAGGATTCTACTCTCTATTCTAACTCTCTAGAATATAACTTTTTCAACTTCTTGATTGGTATAAAAATATAATTTATATTTCCAACAGGTATTATCCCATCAACTTAAGTAAAGATTAGATAATTGTAAAAACCCATCCTACACACTTTACACAGTCTTCCTTAGCCACAAAGCACATTGGTCTACAGTACAACTGAGCAACTTATAGACAGAAAACATTTACGCTACCATCACTCCCACATTCTTAGCAATTCTAATGTATTCCTTAGAGTTTTGAAAATTTCAATAATTTATGTTTTCTAAAATGAATATTTAAATGTAACAATTGGCTCACTCACCACTCAGTACATTTATCCAGAGACCAAACAGCAGCAGGGCTTATCAAACTGAAAATTATTCTTTCAGACAGTTAGCCTTTTCTTACAAGAGCAATGAGCTGTAGAACTCACTGCCCACTGAAATAAAGCCCATGTCTGAGTTGAAAATATTCACTTCCTGGTTTACATCTTAGGTCAAAATAAACCGAAGTCATTTCCATTTGTAAATGTCGTGTGAGTGAGTGACTTTAAATTATATTATATTTATTATATATATCTGTATTGTGTATTATTTCAAACTCCTGCCTGACAAGGAATGGGGGGCACAAATGTTCAATTATCTATTTAATGGCACTGTTAATTGTATTGTATAAATAATATTGTCTTTTACAGGAGAATCCATATGTAATGCTACGGCAGAACCACCAGGATTTGGAGGGAAATGACCGATACGAAGGCTTCTGTGTGGACATGCTGAAGGAGCTCGCAGAAATCCTCAAGTTCAAGTATCGCATTCGTTTGGTTGGAGACGGACTGTATGGGGTCCCTGGGGCCAATGGCACCTGGACAGGCATGGTCGGAGAGCTCATCTCAAGGGTAGGGCAAAGATCACTTTAATACAATGGAATAATCAGTTGTATACAAAACATGCCATATAAAATCCCTTTGTAAATGATAAAACTATTGATTCCATGCACGTTGTATATCCTGTGACTCATAATTTATGAATGGATTTCTATCGCTTGTAAAAGTCTGAGCAGCACTGCTTACCATTATGTCCATGCAAAGCTTCTATGCAGGTGTTTCCCTCACACTGTAACAGCAGGCAGGTCTTATTTATGCCAAGCAGGTTTCAGCTGGCAGATGGCCGTAAGCTTACATCTTGTATTTTTCATACAGTTTCACAGGCCCTCAAAAATGACCTTAACAGCTTTTGCTTCAGAAATGAACTATTTTCTTGTTCAATTTCAAATCCACTCTTTCAAAACTGTGCATATGTCAACAACAAGATGTCAGTGGTGAAATGTGAAAACTGAAAAAAGCTAAAACAGGACTAAACCAATATGTTATTATTTAAATCAGTCGAGATGCAGTATGTAGCAAATTTAAATCATCCCATCTGACCTTCAGAGCACCCAGGCTTGAGCTAACGCATATTCATGACAGCTACTTGAGCGGCAAACTGGCAGACAAGTGGAAAGGGGCAAACCAAAAGTCAAGACATGCTTCAAACAGATTTGTCATGGGATGGGAGACATGTGCTAGCATATACTATGGTGGATAGGTAGGCTAGGCTAGTGTTTGGGTTAGAGATTACGTGAGTGGATAGGACATAAAGAGGATTATCAACAGAATGCTAATAGGCACGTTAAAATGCATTTGCAATTAATAAAACATAAACATAATGTAAAGGTGTCAAAGTTTTAGTGTAGGAGATTATTACTCTTTATATATTGTTCACAAATAAAGTTCTAAAGTCTAGAGAGTGTTGTTATTTCAGTGTGTAGCTGATTATCCCAGGTGTTCTGCACTGGAAAGTCAAATCAATTGATGCTATAGCCATGACCTTATAAATAAATAATATTATAAATAAATAAATTACAAATATTTCTTCAATTACCTCCTGCTAAACATGAAGTGAAAATAATCTCAAATTCCACAGCAATAAATTAATATTCATATAAGTCAAATTTTTGGTTTACTTCATGCTTAGGTGTCCATCAGATTTAATTGGGTTGTCATGTGGTTGTGTGCTAGAAACATACTGTGAGTGACCAGTCATAAAATAAGTATTATCAGGAGACAGTTATACTCGTGCTGTTTGCCCACAAATTGTCAAAATCAAGGTCATGTTTTACAAGCTCAACATTGACAATGGAGGAAAACTGTGAAAGTGTCCTTCAACACTTGCCAGGCAGACATAAATACGATCCCATAGAAGCAGTATAAAGTATCCACTCAGAGGTATACTCCGACAACAGATACCTGTGTCTCTGCCAGGAGCACTCAGGCTGAACCCTCTCATTGTATGCCCGTATTAGTGTGAGAAGGGCCATGCCAAAGGTAGAAGTTCTTTAGACCAGACATTTGGCACAGTGTTTCTTTTTGTCAACTGCCTTCTAAAGGTTGTTTTGTTAAATTAACAAGAATAAACAAGAATAAAACATGTTTGTTTTAAATTGTTGCTTATTAATTAATTCAAACATTTCATTATCCACATTCACCCACTTTTCAAACTTCTCTCCTACTGAAGTGATAAAACTAAAGTTTTTATTTAATCGTTTTGTGTCCAAAGGAAACTGGCTCAAAGCTGCATTGACCTGCCATCATTGTGCAGTATGTTTGTACAATCGTAGCTGAAGGCACTGTAGTGTAGCGAGAGACAGTAATCAATATTAATATTCTATTGTCACATAAATATTTTATCATCTACTGCAGCTCAAAGTTTATTTTTCAAAGATTCACTGACATTTTTGTTAGAATCGCCTGAGCAGCCGCTCCCCATGCACGGTTTGCTATGGGCAGCGGGAACGGGCGATCAGACTTTCAAAGGACCGAGAGAAGCATAAAAGATGTGCACGAGGCTGGAGACGACTGATGATGAAGAGTCAAAGCCAGGGCCCGAGGACAGAAGCACACAGCACCAGAGCGGGGTTAAACACACCAGTGTGACTGCTAATTGAAACAGGGGACAGGCCTTAATGAGGCTTTCGGGACAAAACGGGATGTGTTCTGAAGGTTGAGATAATTGTCAAAACAAAAGATCAATGATGACTCACATCTCTGCAAGTCAGATGCGCCTTCATGAATGTCATATGTCCCTCTCCATTTCCTTGACACGAAAACCTTTGGGGCTCTTGTGAATTTTGAAAGCATCCTCCCACCACACATACACACACACACACACACACACACACCACACACACACACACACACACACACACACACACACACACACATTCTCTGCTTTTCCCTCTCACTTTGCCCCAATCCTCTTAACTCCTCCCGCACTGGACAAAAACCAATGCATAGCTGCTTTAACTCCATGCTCCTCTGGGAGGGGAAAAATCCCTTGCAGTTGCACTTTACTGGCCTGTATTATTAGTGTGGATCCACCCCATATTCAGCATCTACTGACCATTGTGAGTCTCTAAGTGTGTGTGTTGCCCGCCTCTGCTTTGTCAAGTGATTTGTCATGACACTGTTCCCTTGGCTGGCTACAGTGGCTATAGCCTCTCACGCCCTACACACTTGCTCTAAGTGTCCGTGCTGGATTATCCTCGGCACTGATAGAGCTATTGGCAGACAAGAAGGGCTGTAGGATACAATGGTGATTATTGCCCAAGTAGGAGACAATGGGCCTCTTTCTTGTCTCACGCATATCTTATTTCTTGGTTCTTTGAGTAATTGAGTGGAAGTATATCTGTGACTGATGTAATGTTTACTTGTCATTTCAGAAAGCAGATTTGGCAGTAGCAGGGCTGACCATCACAGCAGAGCGTGAGAAGGTCATCGACTTCTCCAAGCCCTTCATGACTCTGGGCATCAGTATTATGTACCGTGTCCACCTGGTGAGTTTTACCACCTTAACAGCACCCTCCCACTCATCACAAGCACCCACTTGACAACTCGCGGTTGGCCATGTCTAATCGCTGGAAAAGACTCCCCTTTCCCTTTTGGCTTCATGTAGTCTCTGGTTTGAGCCTGTCTAAATCCATCCACAAACCCCACGTCCCCTGAACGTTATCGCTGCTTTAGTTCTGAGCTCTTCCACTTTCCCTTCATGTCTGGAGAATACTATATATGTTCACCCTTCTTTTTCTGCACAGCACTCTCTCTTTCTGTGTCTAAGTACTTCACTAGTCTCCGCCTCCCTCCTCTTTGGACCCCCACTTGGTCAGCAGCAGATGGTGTTTTACTCCTGGATGAATGTAGCACTTTAGAAGATGCTCTCGCCCTCTGATTTGGTCCTGTTCACTTTCCCCTTTACCCTCGTGCTCCAGCGCAGTAACGCAGTGCAGTGTTGAGGAGAAATGAGCAACTATTTGGAAAGCTGCAGCCCCATTAATCATCAGTCCTCCCCCAAAAGCCAAGGTGACATTGGGGCTCAGTATAGCACTGGCTATGGCTAGGTGTTTTGGCACAGATCCAAACTTTAGTATAGTATCCCAAAACAGCATTTTTTCACAAAACATTATTCGTCGTAAACCTCCTTTTATCATATCTCTATATTAGCTGCTCTGTGCTAATAGGGCTTGCAGAGAGGCACTCAACTAAGCACCACAGTTGGATGAATGGATCGATATTTGCAGCAGGTGCAGTGGTAAATGGGATACTGGGTGGCCCATCACGACTCTAGTGGAAGGCAGCACGTTGGCAGTTTGGGGAAGTGTAACAGGGCTGACGTTGTCTAGGGCTTCCACACCAACTCTCAGGCTACAAGGTCGACAGAAATGCATTTATTATTGAGATAAGACGTAAGCTGTGAAGAGTTTGATAAGATATGAACGATAGCAAAGAAGCTAAGGACACTTTTTTTCTCCTAAACCCCTCCCATCCAGTTTGTCTGTACGTTCAGTTCACCCTTTGGCAGTTTGTAAGATGAGTCAAAGTGGTACCACAATTCAATATTACATTTGTGTGACTGCACTTGTTTAGTTCTAATCCACTGATCATTGATTGGCGACACTACAAGGGGCTTTGCTGCTTATTTCAAACTTTAAATGAAAATTTCAGCCTGATCAATAGGAATGGAGATTGCCATCAAATAAAAGAGTCTGGTGGGTATTAATTACCCTTGCATAGCTGATTGTTTATCTATATTTCTCCACTCTGCCTCTGTTTGTGTGTGTTGCTTAGCTACACAACCATAAAAATACACTTTTAACAGCAAGAGCAAAACCAACTTTGAACGATTTAACATAGTGTCCAGAAGTAGAAAAAGAAATGTTTTCCATTTAATACACAAAACATAATAAAGATAAACAAATCCAGCACTTCATTATCGATACTGTGAGACAAGTGACAGTTTTTGCACAAAGTGTTGTTATTCTCTAGAGGAATCAGTGCCGCCTTGTTTACTCTTTCTGAGACTTTCTAGGGCATATGACTGAAATGAAAAATATGGGAACAAATCACATTGAGCTTGCAGCTTGTCAGCAAAAGACCAGCCCTAACTGTGTCAGTCGTGCAGTGTGCCTGCCTCACTGTTTCACTGTAGAGGAACTTGTTTCTTGCACATTTTTGGCAGGACTAGTATTTTGAGGAGGGCATGTAAAGCCCACTGGAACACAGAGGAGTTTGGGGTCATATAAATAAATTGGATTTGAAATCAAACAATGCACAACAAAGCAGCTCTGTTTGCTCTTGCCTTTAGTGCTGTTACCTCTATCTTTATAACCCAATGTGCAGTAAAACCATCTTCCCTTTGCTCTCGGGTCGATTACATTTGTCCATTTCCATAATTTAAACATATTGCTCATTTTGTGAGATAGTAAGTCAAACGTATGCTACACTATTATGGAGGGAAAGGTGCTTAATTAGACACAGGAGTTAATTAGGGTTGTAAGCCTTGTCAGATGCAGCAGCTGCCCGTGGGGTACAGCGCAGCATACAGAGCTTTATTGACTGTGCGGCCACAAATGACCCCGTCTAAAGTACACAGCCCTGTCTATGGATGCACCTTCACGAAGTCTTTAACCGCCCAGCAGCAGAGAAGTGTTGTCAATGTGACCTCATGACCCCAGACAAATCAAATGCTCTCTGAAGATTGCCCCTGCAGTTATCACAACAAATGCAGTGCCTGAAAGCCTCCGCACAATTAGAAATACTTACGCCACCTCTACAATCAAACAACCAGGGCTCGGGAAGGTATGGAAGACGAGAGAGGCAGGCCCACGGTGTGAAGGAAAGGCTGAGAACTGTGAGCCGTGGAGCAAATAGAAGAGTGGGAATGACAATGGGAAGTCTCCTTCAGTAAGTTCAGTGTACAGACAGGCAGCCACAGGGGGCAGATGTGTGCTGTGAATACAAAGAACCGCCATGACTAGGTAAAATCCTTGACTGGATAACCTCACCAGCTCTTCCAGCCATAGCCGCAGAATCCAAGCACTCCCCTAAGACTTAAGAATGAAGGAGGCAAGACACCACAAGGACGATGCAAGGTAGAATGAGCCAGGCAGCTGCTTATGCACAGGCTAAGAGGGTGAGGCCAAGTATATACAAGCAGTAATGGCCATCAATAGCCCACCATTCTATTATGTTCAGAAATGTCCTTGTAAATGGGATCATTAAGGATGTTTCAGTCATGTACTGAGGCTATGGTCTTTGTGTCTTTTCAATTGCAAATGCTTTCTCATCATCATAATGTGACAATATGATCCATAATGAAAGATTCTTGATCATTATAATGGCATCATCTGAAGATCTAAAGACTTGTAACCATATTCTGTGATACTGAGTATGTTTTCGTTTTTGTTTTTAATAGAAGAGGGACAGTATAGCAAGGTGGGTTGAATCTCTTATGTGTAACATTAACCAGGTGGATTTATTCATATATGGTTTATGTATTTGAATATTCAGCCAATAGTAGTGAAGACCTACAGATGGAATTAATACTAAAGGTTCAATACCTAGCTCCAAATAAAGGTGCCTAGGATAATATTTCTGGCTTGACTATATTGTGCATTGATAAATTTTGAAGAATTGACCATGTTTACAAATTTAGACAAGGTATTATAATTTTATAAGAAAAGGATTGACAGATGGGAGACAAAAACAAGAAGGTTTGTCTAGACCACTAGAGACACAGAATAGCCTTGACTACTATAACTCCAGCCCAACACTATTCTCAAATGCTTATTTTTTATTTGTTGACTTCATTAAAGCAGTCTTCAGGAAATATCTGTTAAATTGGCATATTAGCCATGCCTGCAGTGAGCCCGTGCTGTTACATAATGAAGCCCTGACTGTTTACCATTCGGGGACAGTGGGTTACACCAGTTTGCCCGGGCACGTTCTGTTTGTGCCCCCATTTAAATGACTGACAGCCTTGACAGCTGCCGACGCAAACAGCCGTGCACAGACCCCCGGTGAATACAGAGACAAGTGAGCTCTTTCCAATTGGCTGTTTCAACAACATTTGACTTGACAGCACCTGTAGTATAATTAATTACACCCAGACATCTATTTGTCATTGATAAGTGTCTTTTGTTCATATTATTTCAGGTGTAATTAATATCTGCTGTGACACTGAACTTTTAATTACAGTGCAGAATCCAGAGTGCGTTCATCAGTCCTTCTTCACTTCTGCTCCCTGCGGTAAATTGGAGACACTCTGTCGACCCAGCAGCTCTGTTCTGTACAACAGGGGAGGGTGCCCGGAAAGAAAATGATAGATATTGTTTTTCTTTTGTGCATCATTAAAATCAGCCCTTTTAATGCAAAACTTTAGTTGAATAGAAAAAGAACAGGAAGAAACATGCTCCATTTTGCGTATGTGTTCACCATTTCCATTCAGACTTTCTGAATCTCAGTGTGCTCATTAGTTTCCTCGCTGCAGACCCACCACAGATAATTTCTGCTCCAACTCTTCAAAAATAAGTTTAATATTAAAGCAAAAGTATAACTGCATCTCACCTCACAGTGGGTCCACTTTGAATGTCTTCACTTAATTCTGTCTTAGTTCTTATACATTATTGGTGCTAACACTTACGCCGCCTATAGCAAGGGGGTCCCACAAGGCTGCAGCCCTCTTAATCTTAATAAAATGCCACCTTTGTGGGAAGTTAACATGTGGACAACTGGGGTAAGCTGCTAGCAAATTGCTGGTTCAGCATGCACCAGACTGGACAAGCAAACAATAGGGCATATGTCAGCGTATATCACAGTTACCCCAGTAACCCCAACAGCAACAAGATTTAGCTTTGTCCTGGAACTTTAACAATGTAGCATTTTATAATGGCCATGTGGTGTTCAGTGCACCAGTGCTTGATGACTGGCATTTAGACAGCTAACCAGCTTCATACACTGGTAATAGACTTTGATATATATTGACATATTGACATGGACTCATTCATTTCTTACACTCAATCTATTCTTCTGCACTTCAAGCCAGTGTCAAGTTAATGAAATTTCATCACCTCAGAGTGTAAAAGGACCTTCTTTATCATAACAATTGCCCACCAAAATAATTTCACCCTCTCGCAACAAATTTAATTTCAAGGACCTCCGAAATGTATTACAACAGTGTTTTGGCATGCACAAAGTCCCCTATGAGTCTCTAATTGAGTGTTTTGCATAAAAGTGATTTGGCTATGTTCAGGTGAGCTTAGAATAGGCGATAAAGAATTTCAACACTATTGAAATCCACTCTCTCATTACTGCACGTAAAAAGTTGGTTGTTTGATCCCCACTTCAATTTAAGTGCCCTTCTGCCCCTGACAACCGCTTCTATTTCATGGTCATTACCAGATGTTCCCATGCTTTAGTCTAGCCCTCCTGTTGTTGCTGCAGCCTCAGTCCATATGTAAAATAAATACAACACATATAGCAATAAGCACTGCATTATTATTATTTGGCACTGCTTCACTAGTAATTGGTTTCATTTGGAGGACAATAGCTGTTGTGGCTGTATAATGAAACACTGAATTAGCCTCTATATTCCCATTGGTTGTGATGCTGCCCGCTCGATTTCAGCCACTTTATCTTCCCAACCACTGGTTACAGATCCAAACATACCAGCAGCCCACAGCCAGCCTTTTGGTCTAAGCCTAAGCTATTAATCTCTCCCCTTTTTTCTCCCCCGGATCAGGAAACAATGTGCTCCTAGTGAAACAGTAAGTCAACTATAGGTCATAGCAATGAAATTAGGTTTAATGTTGCAGTAATGGTTCAGCTGATTAGTTGACCTTATGATTTGTGTTGTGAGCTATTCACTCAGAGCATGGACTGACTGTTTTGGCCTCCCGCTGTGGAAGCAAAGAGCCATAATGCGATAATAAACCTAATATGAAGCCATTTTTTGAGAAATATAGTTTTTATCTGCGATGGGTTATCTAAATGTAGTCAGTCTGTTGACATTTTACGCAACACTGGCTTTCATATAGCAGAATGTTGATCTTACTGTTTACATGCAAATGAGATTCCAATAATTATGGTGTTATCATTTAGGACAGAGCCAGTTCCAATCACATCAAAATCCCTTTATTTACTGTCCCAGTCACCTTTTTATCTCTTTCCAAAATTACACAGGCAGCACTAAATGTTGCTTAACACTTTTTGAAACAGGGCCGCAGGCAAAGGCATCAAGTCAAAGATTCAGCAACATTTTCTTTTTAATTAATCCTCATTGTACAGATGTTATAAAGCGTTATAAAAATGCTAATGAACTCCTCCTCACCTTTCAAATTCAATGGCAAAAGTCGTTCTCTTCTTTTGCTTTGAACATGTGATCAAAGTGGTCCTATCTAGTGGCCTATCTAGTGTTTAATCTTGACAATTCTTGTGTTTTCCAGGGGCGAAGGCCAGGATACTTCTCCTTTTTGGATCCCTTTTCCCCCGGTGTCTGGCTCTTCATGCTTTTGGCCTACTTGGCTGTCAGCTGCGTGCTCTTTCTTGTGGCCAGGTACATAGCTTTGTGTGCTCAGGTAAAAGGACAAAAAAGTGACAAACAAAATGGTGTTCTTTAGTGAAACCACATGAAAGAATATTCAGGTGTTGCTTCTTACTCTCCATTCATGTTTGCCTTTCACAGTTTAGTCCCTGAGGTGTGTCTCAGCATAACATTGCCACCTGCTGGCGTCATAGGAAATTGCAACAGACAATATAAAAATAATCATTTACCTTGTGTACAGTGTGTTCTCCTGTTGCTATTTTTGTAACGGAATGGACATGGGAAGAAGCTGTTGAGTTACTTTGATATTGTTCATGTAAATCTCTTTTCAGTGTCAATTAATATACTTAATTGCTTATGGTGTAACTTTTCTATTCGGGGGTCCACTACCTGCTTGACTCTATTGAGATGTTATTTCTTTACCTAGAATGTTCAATAGTATGGCATTAGACTTACCTATCTTGCAATTACTAAATTAAAGGTGTATTTATTCCTCAAAAATACCCAGATTCTTACTGTAAGCGGGGTTGCCTCATCACAGATCTGACATGTAACTTGGCCTGCTTGTCTTCATGGAGACTGCAAGTTGAATACCATACTGTGGAACATTAGGTCAAGAAATCACATCTCCATGGAAACAGACCCTCTAAAAGTTACATAGTCCACCTTTAAATACTATATGAATCCTTGTATACTTATTCAGACTATATATACTGCTTGCCAGCTGATTCTATAAAGAGTGTCTATGGCTGACAAACAAAACTGCAAATAGAAAAAAATTATATTTAGCAGGTTTAGACCACAAGCCCAGGAGAGTTTTGTTTGGTCCTATCTGAATACTACTTGAATTTTGCTTGTGTTTCCAGTCGTACTTCCTGTCTGTAAATCTATCTGTGTTCTTTGCAGATTAACACCTTATGAATGGTACAACCCACACCCATGTCTGAAGGGCCGCTGCAGCTTGCTCATAAACCAGTACTCTTTGGGCAACAGCTTCTGGTTCCCTGTGGGAGGCTTTATGCAGCAGGGGTCCACCATTGCCCCTCGAGCTCTGTCCACACGCTGTGTCAGTGGAGTGTGGTTAGTATTTGCTATTTAAATAACCCGAGTATATTGTTTATGCATGTCTATAAATAGATGCCAGATGTGCTTTACCCCAAGGATTTTGTGATGCATTCAACTTTTCTAATTTTGATTTACATAAAAGTAATACAAATCTGATGAGTTTAAGGTGATGACTTCTTGTAAAAGTCAGTGCTGTAGTTGACATAAAAATTCTTATTTTATTTATTTTGAATAGTGTTAATTGTTTGTATTAAGGATCAAAGTTCATTATCTAACACTGACTATTGGTCTGTATTTGATGTGTATTATAAATATGTGTGCTACTTTTCTTAGTATGACCCTTTGTTACGTTTCATTCAGGACATTGTCACATCGTCTTCATTCATCCATCCATCCTTTTGACTGAGATCCTCATGATCAGGTGCACAGCCTCTTACACATAAAATCATCCTCCCTTTGCCTGTGGCATCATTCTTCATTAGTCCACTGTCCCATTTGCATGTTATTTTCTCAATGAATACATATGTACCTTTGCTCCACAGGTGGGCTTTCACATTAATCATAATCTCATCGTATACGGCCAACTTGGCAGCATTCCTGACTGTGCAAAGAATGGAGGTGCCCATCGAGTCCGTGGATGACTTGGCTGACCAAACTGCTATTGAGTACGGCACCATGCATGGAGGATCCACTATGACCTTCTTCCAGGTCAGAGGCCACTGGCCTTTTGCATATGATGGATTGTCTAGTTAATTCTGTGAAATTAAAGGCACACATGCACAGACACACACACACTCCCCTCAGAGGGAGCTGTGATCAATGGGCCATCAGTGATGTTATCGTGCACATCACCTCTCTGTCCTTCCTCTAGTCTTCCTTTAACCACAGGTTTTATCCGTTTTCTGTCCGGTCTTTGCCACAACCATTCAATATCTCTCTCCTCAGGGAGAGGTGGCCTTTTCACGTCTCACACACACTCCTTCATCAGTCTCTGGAGATCTGACTTCACACAGGCAGCACCAACTGTCAGAGGAACTGTCTATTTGTGTTACACTCATTAAAAATGGAGCTGAGGAAGAAGAGAAGTCAGCCCCCGTGTATTGTTCTCTACATACGGACTCGAACTAATTCAATGCAGACAGGCAAATAAAAGAAAAGACATAAGGGGTTGAATAAAGATGGTCTCTGAAACTAACAGGTCCTTTTAAAAGAAAATAGCACAGGAGGAGGAGGCTATTTCTTGTCTTTCTGATAGAACTTTTGAATGCAATTGCAGGACAGATGTGTAAATGCATTTATCTATGAGGTTCATTTGTGTTCACAGAACTCCCGTTACCAGACATACCAGCGCATGTGGAACTTCATGCACTCTAAACAGCCCAGTGTCTTTGTGAAGAGCACTGAGGAGGGCATCGCCAGGGTGCTCAAGTCCAACTACGCTTATCTTCTAGAGAGCACCATGAATGAATACTACCGCCAGAGAAATTGCAACCTCACACAGATCGGAGGCCTGCTGGATACTAAGGGCTACGGCATTGGCATGCCATTGGGTAAGCTCCACTGACTGGGAACAAACTAAAAGTAAAGTTTGAAAAGTAGGACTTAACATTCAAGAGAGGCTCAGGAAAACACAGAAGACAGTAAAATGGAAGAAGAGAAAAGTTTGGCTGAAAAGTAAAATGAAAGCAGAAAAAAGCCTGAAATCACTTAATATTTCATAAAGAAGTAAAGATGGGGGAATAGGAAGCAGGGGTATTAGCGGAACACCTCAAATGTCACATTGAAAAATAAAATTGAAAAGTAAAGCCCCTCCATTAGCTGCTACCATGGGAGGAAATGATGCAAAAAGTAAGTCAAGTGTGGAAGACTTAACACTGCCAACTGTGATGCGGGAAACAGGGACAAGAGAAGGGAACTTGACACAGGGTGACACTGGTCTGAAGTACTAGCCCAAATGTTCACTTTATAGTAGTCTGTAGACAGGTGACAAACCAAATAAAACATAATCAAAACATAATTAATTTCAATTTTGTTGATTGTTAAACAATAATTAAATCTGGAGCATATTGTGACCTGTAAAACACAATCCAAAGCATCTTAATCTCTTTTAACTGCAGCAGATGAATGCCATTGTGCACTTAAGAAGCAGTTGAGAATTAATCTGTCCCATATGTGAAACTGGGCTGATAGAGACTGGACAACTGTAAGCTTCTCTCCTCTCCATCGTGCAGGGTCAGTGTACCGCGATGAGTTTGACCTAGCCATCCTTAAGCTGCAGGAGGACAATCGCCTGGAGATTTTGAAGAGGAAGTGGTGGGACGGAGGCAAGTGTCCCAAAGAGGAAGACCACCGCGCCAAAGGTCAGTGAGCGCTACATCCACACACACCTAAAGTTTGTTTGCTTTCCCCATTTTTCCTCATTCTGTCTTTGTGTGATCCCAGGTCTGGGAATGGAGAACATAGGTGGAATATTCGTAGTGCTGGTGTGTGGCCTGTTGGTGGCGATCTTCATGGCGGTGCTGGAGTTTGTGTGGATGCTGAGGCAGACTCCAGGAAACGAGGTGAGCGAGGACTTTGTGATGTGTATCTGTTTTGTCTCCCTCTCCCATGAGCCACAAATCCCCCACCCACACAGGCTAGGCTCGTCAGATTGTAATCAGTACAAAAGAAAAGACACACCTAATGTCTGTCACTCAGACCAGTACTGACACACACACACACAGACATTGGGTTTAAATATTGTTCTTTTGTAATATAATGTTTATAGTGTGCGTGATGATAGACGTACATGCATATGTATATTCATGTTTCCATGGTTACCTGTGTAACCTGTTTGGTGGGCTGTGCTATTGCGCTGTATGAGTCAGTCAGCTGTCTGGTCTCTGTTCCTCTTATCCCCCTCTCCCCATGTCTCTCTCTGTGTGTATGCCCGCAGCAGTCGGTGTGTGAGGAGATGCTGAGAGAGCTCCAGGGGATTGTGCTGTGTCGGGACAGTCTTCAGGTGAGGAGACGGAGGGCAGCGGCCATGTTGAGACCGCGGCCCCTGGCCCTGGAGGAGCGGCGAGCCAGAGCAGCTGCTGTCAGCCTCAGTAATGGCAAACTGTGTGCGGGCACAGGCCTGCCAGAGCCCCTGTCCCACAGACTGGCTGCAGAGGCAGCACTGGTGGCCAGAGGCTGCAGTCACATCCGCATATGCCCCGAGTGCAGACGTTTCCAGGGGCTAAGGATGCGCCCTGGAGGGGCAGCCGAGACTCTTCCCTCCCCCACACACAGTGAGGAGAGCATAGAGTGGGACAAGACTACAAATAGCAGTGAACCTGAATAACAGCGCGACTTTCCCAGAGGCCAGCTCTCTGTTACTTTCCAGGGATATGAGATCATTTGGGATTTGATTTCATCCTCTGTTCAGAGTTTGATCTTAAAGGTCGACCTAGAGCTGTGGACTGTAATGTCCTTGGGACTACAGCCAACAGTCACTTTTCAGAATCTCCTTGGATGAATAATTTCCTTGGTCATCCTAAAAACTGATGAGTCTGTCTCATTGTGGTCTGTCCCTGTTGGCTCTCTGTACCGTGAAAAAGAGGGGGGACAAAAACTGCTACCAGGCATTTGTACTATGCAGTATTTTCACTCATTTATCATTTTGCTCTTTCTTTCCTTTCCTTTTTAAATTATTTGTTGGGATATTGGTACGAAGTTTTGTTACTGTATTTTCTTATTTGTCAGTTTATTCTGTGAACATAACTACATCCTCAGAGGAGGAGATGAAGAAATGTTCTGTTATCCTTTAAAAGTTTTTATTTTGAAAGTGCCAAATACCTACGAGTATCATCTTGTGGCTGAAGATGTGCCGCAGCCTTGTGACAACACCAACTCAACCTAGAACTCTCACAAACAGACTTCTTTTATAGTAGTGATATTCTATTCAAATGTTTTATGGTGGAATCTCTGAAAGACAGCCATGTTGTTCCTGATGGGTTTAATCAGCACTCAGAATGCCTGTTATTTATCTTTTCCTTTTATAATTTTCTTTCCCCCTGCTTTCATTTCTTTGTACAAAACTTCTTATTACGCACTAATTTACAATTTCACATTCACAGTGGGTTTATTTGAACTCAAATTAAGATCTAAGGCGTGAAGAATTCTGTAAAGGGCTAGAAAAGATTAAAACAATACCCCTTTTTTTATTTAAAGGTAGAGTGACTAATATATCTTTGTCCTTTCAAAATGTATCTCTCCTTTTAAATGGATAGTTACAAAAACAAGTACATATAAAATGGCTTTAACGATAATGTCTGGTTTTCCCCTCCTATTTACCCAGATTTTCTTATCTGTGCTGCGTCAGTCACGTTCAGTCTGCCCAACAGGTTCTGTCAATAACTCTGTGAAAGTAGGCCACCAGAAAGCAGCATAGCTCAGAGGCACTGGTGCTGTATCTCTCATTCTTTTTTCTCATTTTTTTTTCTCCATCATCATTTTCCAGCTGCAGGTTGTTCAAGGTTTTCTGTCTGTTTTTCGTTTTACCTTACACCCAACTAGGTAAATATTCAGTTGAAACTTTCTGTTGCCTCCATGCCAACACTGATGTAACTTGAATCAATTGCACTGGACTGAATTACAATGTTTTACAAAGGCTTTACAAAAAGTCACTCTGTTAATCTCTCATGCCCTGGGCGAGATTTGTACAACTTTTCTTTTCCAATTCAACATGGAATTTATTTGACAGTTTGGATATTGTTCAAACTCCCACAAGAAAAACGTGCATTTGAGAAGGCATTCAATCTCTACTGAAAAAGAAACTAATGGGAAATATGGAAATATGTGTACATCTAATCCATCTAAATTCCAGTAATGAACTTCTGTTGTCCCAGAAAAGGTGCACTCAAATTACAATGGCACACGCCTCCACTGTGTGCCATTAATATTCCACATGCACATTTACAAACTTGCATTATTTTGGGAGAAAAACAAAAGTTCATCTCCAGCCACTCGATATCCTCAGAGTAGCGAGACCTCTCACTGCACTCTGAGCCAACTTCTTAAAAACATTTACAGGGGTGTTAAATCAAGCGTAGTTGGGACTAGATTGCCAATTACCCTGAATGCATGAAGAGCAGTCGGCTTAGAATTAAAACAAATCCCAATGAAACCAAGTGTGACCTTCGCTGGGACCGTTCACAGAGACACAGGCTGGTTAGTCTTATTTTATGTCTTTATGTCCATTAATGTTTTTTGTTTTTTTTTAGTTTTGTTATGTTCTTTTTAAGTCAATTTGTAAAATATTAGCTGAGGTCCTTCTGTATTTTCCACTTGTTCTGCAGACTTGTGTTCTTTTTCAGTGTACTGTTTTAATATTCAGACAGGAGAAACATTGCACCTGTTTAGTTGCGACACACTGTCATTTGAGGATGTACTTCTTTCTAGCTGAGTAAACATTACAATGGTTGAGCAGATAAGACATCTACCTCCAGTTTCTCCCTTGTAACTTGCTAATCATCGGTGCACTTGTGAATCCATGCGAGAGCAGTGGAGAATTTGTGTAGGCGGTGGGGCTTATGAGTTTAACCTCTTGCTCGTGTGCTCCATCTATCACTGTGATTTTTCTATACTTCATATTGCCTGCATATGGTTCATGCTTTTCTGCTGGATTTCCCATTGCTCTCCTAACAATACCCCAGACCACCACAGCATTAGACATGGCGTGCTATCAGCTCACCCACCTGTGTGTCTCTGTGCATACCCATAGCACACAGACCACCTGTATGTCATGGCTGTGTCAGGTTTATTTGCTGCTTCTGCCTGTGCAGCTCTGGTTCATAAATTAAGCGCTCCTCTCTCGACTCCGCTCCTCTCCACTTCGCTGCTGGATTTATGGAGCCCATGATGAGCATTGAGTGCCTGCAGAAGTGTGGGAAAGTCTACTCATCTTCCCAAGCGGAACTACTTGTAGCATTTAAAAATGTCACTGATGGTCAATGGTTATTTCAACATTGCAATTTATCATTCACAATCCATTGTTAAACTGCTCACCCAGGGAATATTCTGTTATCTTTAGGTTTTGCAAAAAACAGCCACACCTGAAAAAGAAAGGAGCTTTTATACACTTTTAAATGACATTTTCTTGTTTGATTGTCTTTGTTTTATGCTGTGTTTTTGTTCTGTATCTTCAGTACTGTGCCAAGTTTTTGCAGGGGGTTAAAGCTGTGCAGAAATACTGTAGGTGAGCTGGAAGAACAGGCACAGTCCTGTTTTACAATGGTAAAGAGCTCCAAAACCCTTAAATCTAAGGACAGTAATTAATCCTCTCATACTAATCAGCTCCTTTATTCACCTCTTATGCCTGCAGTTGAGACCCTAATTTACAGATTGCTGTGTTCATCTCATTAAAAGAATAAATGGCTACACTTTTAATTTAAGCTTTCTATGCTAATAGCATATTCCACACACCCGTTAAACTTTGCACAGCAGTGTACAGGTATATTTGCTTTCCTCTAATGAGCACACTGTTTGCAATGATGCATTCGTAAAGCATCACATTTAATCCCTGAAATCATGAATTACTGCCTGACTGGTCCATTTTTACAATGATTTTCTGGCAATTAAAGGTAAAGGCTTTTTGCTGTGCTGTGAGAGTACAAGAATCCTGTCTAAGGTTAGATTCTGTCAAGGCTGTTATGGAGCCTTTTGTTCGTTGACAGATGCTGTTGGAACATATTGACCAAAACATCTTGACATTGTTTGTCTTTCAGAGAAATAAAATAGAGCTTCATTACTTTGTGTTCTGTTCCTTACTATCCATCACTGACTTGGTCGATGGTTCGCAGATGGGGAGGCATTGATTGGCGAGTTTCGTGTCTGCATGGGGGTGTATTTTTTATGTGATCGGGCTGTGGGAGAAAATCACAGCATAAGCATCCTGACTCATCTGTTGAAGGCCACCTTGTTGCAGTTAAGACACAAATCAGACAAGTGAATGTTCAGTTCCTCGGGTATTCTGCAGCAGGAGCATATCAATCAGATGCAGATAAGAGACGGGTTTTATCACCCACATACGCATACACCTCGCTGCTTTTCAGATGAGAACAAAATAATTCAACTGTGCTGAATGTTGCCACAAAATTTCTCTTTTGACCTTGAAATTGATTTCTAATTTTAGCTCAAATATGCATCACTTTCGACGCATACACTTGACGCAGCAGCATCTGTCTCCGAGCAGAGCTGACAGCATAAACAGCCTCTCCATGCTTTAAATAACAATTAGTCCATTAATCATATGCCATAATCCTGTGAGCAAGGGCGGCACAGTTAACCATTTAATACACGAGAATGCTGTACTGTGAATCAATAGACATTGTTTATGAGCATTATAAAAAAAATGTCAATGAGAAGAAAGTGATTAGCAGAAAAATCTTTAACCATTCAAATAGTGTGTAGACTCAAGGCATAGTTACAAAGATACAAAACAAAAACATGAGTACACAAGTATGTAAAATGCTACTGAACAACAAACCCTCAAACAAATGTGTGTTTTTAATGAATGAATTGTCTGTAAATCCCTTATCCCTTAAACCAACAATTATGTTTCACAACTAAATATGGTTTAGCATTTACTTATTTAAAAAATTAACCATATCTAGATGCTCAAAATAAGCAGGGACACAGATTTTCATAATTGATTGTTGACTAAATGGTTTTGCTGTAGCAGTGGGTATGATCCACTCCGTAACAGACTAAACAAACACAAGCACTGGCTCTCTGGGGGCATTAAATCCTGGGGCTTTGGGGAGAAAGCACTGGTCTACAGATAGCAGCCTCTTGAGTTCGTCTGTTAATTGGTCGTTAGAGCGCAGAATTATCTAAATCCTCCAGTAAATGATTCATTACTTCACTAATGAGTATCTAAAAAATGTTCTGGACCATGCAAAAGAGCCACAAATGACAGCCCTTCAAGTGAAATCTGCTTATCTGGCACCTCCATGGAACATGAGGTTGGATTTAGACTGGGGAGGATAAATCTTATTTCCTGCATCATTAACTGTCGGATAGGCTGTACTAGTTCAAACAAAATTACCTTCATGAACGTCTGCATCTTTCAGGTCAAGCTTTTTTGGATCTCAATTGTTAGACTGCCTTTTTATATTATTAGGAGGGACAGAATTCATGGACAGCACACAATAAATCAAATACAATACATGCAGAAAAACAATGCAGTGATCTATTTTATTTGACATTCTGGCATAAAGGGAAAAGTACATAAATAGTGAATTGCTACATCTAGTGGCAAAAACACCACATTACATCAATAATTTTGCCAAATGAACTGCCTTTTGCATTTAGATTTTTGAATAGGCCTTTCCTTTTTATTGAAAATTGCTGTTTAAATATTACTGCATGACAATGCCTCAACTTAAAGTATGAGTATTAAACTCTAAAAAGATTGTGGCCAAATTACAACTAAGATATGTGTATTCATAAACCCTGACTAGATCCACAAAGAGAGTGTGCTATTCATCATTCAGGTTTGTGCTGTACTCTCAGACTCAGAGCCAAAAGCAAGTATTTGCTGGTGCAACATTGTCCCTTGTTGTCCATCCACACTAAGCAACAGAAAGCTGTCAGAGTCAAGTTGTTCAAATGAAAAAATGTGACGTGTGTTGCCATATTTTAAGAAACAGGCCACAGTCTTTTTAAATCATGAATAGCAATTGGGGGTTAATGGAGAGAGGCATAATTAGATTCCATTTGGCACCCTGAGAACAGGTGATATAATGACACATTAAGACCAGTCCTCAGATTGCAGACCTGGTGTAAAGCAGAGGACATTCAGATTTAGAAAGTGCTCAATTAATACTGCCTTTCCTCAATCAACTGTGATTTTAAGTGCCCTCAGTGTTGACTATATCACAGCCGCATTAATGAACATTCTGGTCTATATAGGCTACTATATGTCTATGGTTTGGACTAGAAGGTGCATACATTCAAATAGCTTATTGAGGAAAACATACTAACTTGTGTATAAATAATATGTTTGTGCACTGAAAAAATGGTCTGAGAGGGGTTGCTCAAATTGCAAAAACTAATTTGACAACAATAACATGACTTTTTTTACATTTCTCTGTCCAGCATGCTTAAATCTTACAAAGGTCACTTGATTGTGGCCGATGTTAGATCTGCATGTTTTAATCAGGTTGAGGAAACATGACTTTATTATAATCTCTGGTGAGGCTCCTCCCTCTGGAATTCTCCTCCCCAAAACATTTGGAGGGAAAATTCAAATGTAGCAGGACACAGGACAGATACAGGAGCAGAGGACATGCAGTGTGGAGCAGGATTATGAGAGCTGATCTGGAGGTAAGACTTTTCAAAGATTTTATGTGCTTCTCTGGACTAGGATGTCATCATTGTTAGCTGTAGGGAAGTTCGTGAATGTTATAGCTGATGTTTCAGAAAAAAGGAAGATGTTTGAGAACCAACAAAACACAGACCACAGATGAACAAAGTAAGCAACTCAACTAAAATGGTTTTAAATGTTTTTTTCTAAATATACTTCCTATTGAAACAGTTATCGTGTTTCTACAGGGTGATGTGGCACTAGGAGGACTTTATACCAGTTGCCCTTCCTGTTACTGCGTTTAGAGGAAGAAAAGCAGCACATGGTGAGTTTTGTTTCTGCAGATACAGTTCTAATGTTCTTGTGATTCTGTTCTGGTCCATTATAGGTACTTTAAATGTATTTAAACATGTACAACAGAGTAGATCATCATAATGTAACTGTGTTATTCCTGTGTCCACAGGCAGAGACCAGAGCGTCTTCACTGGAATAAATCTTCACACTGTCCAGCTCCAAACTGTGTGTCTCTGTACTTGTGCTCTCTGTGTGTTTGAATCTGTTAAGACAATACAGAACTGTGGAAAACTAAAGACCGTCTTTGTATTATTTTATAGAATTAGATCAATTAAATTACATTATACATACTTATACATTTCACAATATGGTAACATAAGATAAATATGCATATTCAGCATGATTTGATCAAATTTCATCAACATGAAAAAGCGACGTTCATGTTCTGAGAAAAATATGTGTAGAGAGGATCGAAAAAAGTTTCAAAGCCTAAACATAATTTTATTGCATGCAACTGCTTTCCATAACTTTTTTACGCAAATCCAGCGACCTTTTTTTTCAGTGTGGAATGCCTGAAATCAGAGCACACTATGAAATATTTTATGCATGTTTGGTCAGTGTTGGAAAGCAACTAAAGAGCCTACATGCACTGACATCTTAAATAGCCTAGATGTACTGAAATTTTAAATAGCCTACATGTACTGACATTTTGAGTAGGCCTAATAGTAATAGTTATTCACTTTTGGTGGTGCGTTGGCAGTTTTCAGATTTTAGAATGTGCTGTCATACACATAGGTACATATGTCTATGTGTATGACAGCAAGGGCCAGTTTGACTAAGCCTTTGATTTTGCTATAGTCTTTTAAAACAAAATGTCATACCTTCTGAATTCTGAAAGGGAAAAAGTCCTCAAAATGGAGCAGAAAGTGTAGCACTGGGTAAGTTTGTTGTTTTTTTTTTCTTCAGAGCACTGGTTGTTGACCAGGTTGCTATGGGAGTATGGTACCTCTCGGTCTGATTAATAAGTCATTTACTGGAATAGCCAATGAAGTCCTGGGTAGGGCCCTGCTGCTTATTATACTCAGACCCATGAGGCATTGGATCCTGTAGCCATACTTTTTAGGGCTTGTCAAAGCGTCCTTTGTTGTTAGGGGTGACCACGGCCGGCGCTGCAAGAATCCAGGCTGCATAGGCTGCACTGAGCAGCATCTCTTGGAGGTTTTCTGAAGTCTGTGAAGGAAGACGCGCGTCCCCGGCTACACTCATGCATGTGCACGCGCACATAGGAGGGGGGGCGAACGGAAGGGGACGGACAGGAAAGGGCCACACATACACGTCACAGGGGAAACAGAAAATGCTAGCCAATCTTTAATACCTGCTTCTATTTATTCCCTCTTGTTTCAGTTTTTTTCACGCTTATTCGCATTCTGAGTGCAACTTCCTCTTCTCGATAAGCGACTGTTCCGTAGTCCGCCAGCCCTGCAGCCTGTAGAGCACTGACACTGTCACAGCCTGAACTTCCCGTCAAGGCACAGACACAGAAACGAGCTGCTGACAAAAAGGGGAACGACATCGGGGCTTGACAAGAGCAGAGGGCTCACTCCGGTCCAGACTGCAGGCGGTCAGCCGCGTTGGTGAGCTGGGGAAAGCAAAGAAACCCTTTGGGGTTGTGCTAATTAGCCTCCGTGTTGCCCGTGCAGGCAGCAGCCCGGCTAGCACCACCAGCAGTGGCTTTACAGGGTGTGTGCCACGCTAAGGGACCTGGTTTAGCTTCATCTGGGACAGCTATCTAGCGAACACATGTCACGGATACGCATGGGAGCCTTTTGTGGATAGTCATCCGTCCCTCCCTGTACCCCCCGCTGGACCCTGGCCCTCGGGCGCTGTCCTGACCGGGGGGTCCAGCTAAAGCGGCTCTGACCCCGCTCTGCCTCGCCTCGGGTCGCCCTGGACGTGATCATGGCAGGGAACCTGAAGAAAGGCGGAGGGATCATCGGTATGATGAAAGATGCCTTCCAGCCACACCACCACCATCTCCACTCCCATCACCAGCCGGGGGCCGTGGACAAAAAGACGGTGGAAAAATGCTGGAAACTGATGGACAAGGTTCGTGAGGATGACTAACTCTAGCATGTTTTCATATCTTGATCTTGCTAGCTGTCGTTCACGGTACTGTGTGCATTGTGCTAACTGCAGCTAACTAGCGATAAGCAGCTAATCTTCAGGTTTGGTGAAGCTAGCAATAAGAATGCTAACTTGAGCTAATTTGCTAACCAGGACCTTGCAAGCTAAACTCTTAAAGGTGCACTAAGAAACTTTTCTGGTGGAGGGTCATTCACCTGCTTTTCATTGTGGAGATGTTATTGCTTTGCCTGAAATGTTAAATGGTGTGGCATTAAACCCATTTATCTTGCATTATTAAGCAAATATAGCTTGAATTACATGCATTCTAACTGAGCAAGCTCATCTCTTCACAGATCTGACCTGTATCAGTCTGTTGGCATCACCTGCTTTGTGTCCATGGAGATGGATAAGATTTATGCCATAATGTGGAACAGTTCAGATGAAGTAATAACATCTCCATGGAAACAAGCAGGTGGCAGACCCTCAAAAAAAAAAAAAAAAGAAGAAGAAAAGAAAAAATAGCAAATTGCACCTTTTGAGCTTGCCCCTCTGGGTTCACATTATATTCAAATTTCAATTTGTAAGTAGATCCATGATTTATGTTGTTCTAAATATTTACTGTTTTAACACTATAATTTACAGCAAAACATAATTATAAACCATAGATTGATACAGACTGCATTATTTTTACAACTGTTCTTTTTCTGAAACTACCGTGACAACAAAAATACCAACAAGACCTAAGTGTAACACTACATATATATATAGCACATTTATCTATTCATTTTTCACAAGGGAGGTTTCACAGCTTTACTTCACGGAAAATGTCTAAAGTAGTTTGACCCAGAGTTTCCTGTGAGATTTACCCTTCAATGTTGGAGTGAATAAGGAAGACAAGAGACCCTTTTGTATCTTCTTCCTCTTTTGAGGCCATGGTTTACTGCACTCAAGTTAAGAGAAAAACAAAAAGACTCTAATAAGAACTCTCATTCTGGTAGATTGGTTTCATTACACAGACTGGATATATAGTCTGTTAGCATCTGTGGCAGACTGTCAGACCAAATAAACCCACTAATCTCCTGTTTTGTCCAGGTGAACTGTAGACAGAGTTTCACTCTGCTCCATGGCCTGTAGATTGGGTAATGAAAGTTAATACTGAATGGCTTACCCCAAATCAGAGTGACACCTGTACTGTATGAAGATGATTGACAGTATCTGTCAAAGAATCACGAGGCTCCATGGAATATTGTTAAATAATTACTTGGACAATAAAAGAGACTGCAGTTTGCTGACAGAATGAATTGCTTGATTACTGAAATTAATTTCCTTTTCCTGGTTGATGGTGTGTTGTCAAAGCATATATATTATAGTTTTTGTTTTAGGCCGATACAACAATTCCTCAAAACATTACTAATTAATTTTTTGTGTTATGCAACAACAAAAATGTAATCAAGATGTTAAGTGGATCATGAAATTGTGAATCATTTGAACAGTTTTCTAAATTGCAGAAGAGGTGGGAGTAACTCTAAGAAAGATGGCTAAAGATTTTACAACTTAAACAAAATGAAAAACATTTAAACAGTTGGTAGATATACCTTGGAATCGAGATGTAAATATCTCTAATACCCCAGAACAGAAAAGGTAGTTTGCTGTACTGCTGTTGTCTCATTTAAATTATGGCCTTTTCCACCTATATTTTACAGTCATCAAACATAATCAATTTGATTTTTAATATTGAAATTCTTATATAATAACTCTAACTAACATTCAGATCAGGATACAAAAATGCTTGATCTGCGCCTTGTCCCATTGTGACTGGTGGGTGAATGCTGTGGTTAAAAAATGTCCACACTGTAATGACTACATGTTCTCGGCTGTCGTCCAGCATCTTTGTAATGGTAAACCAGAAGACTCCCTAACTATACATTTCAACATTATCACAATCATAAACAAAGGACATTAAGGAAGCAGCAGGCTAGCGGGAAGTTGATAAAGCAATTCACCCAAGACTATGTAAGAAGCTCTTAAGAAACTATTGTAATTTTCCACAGTCTTAACAATGAAATAGTAATCATTGAAACATCTTTAACACACACAAAGAATTACTTTCATCATATATTAGTTCAAATCAGCTACTTGTGCTAACTCAGAAATATCTAGTTATTTTTGGTTTACCCATTTGAGGACAAACTATAAAATTAATTTTAATACTTTTAAGTCAGCACATTTCAGTTTCATAACCTAGGTTTTTTTGGGGGTTTTTTTTTGCAATCCCTTTTTCTTATTCAATTCAGCACTGACTTTTGAAGTTGCTACACCTGTCTTATCTACGCTCACAACCTCTCTTTGTGCAGGTGGTACGTCTTTGCCAAAACCCCAAGCTGGCTCTGAAGAACAGCCCTCCCTACATCTTAGACCTGCTCCCAGATACCTACCAGCACCTGCGCACCATCTTGTCACGCTATGAGGGCAAAATGGAGACTTTGGGGGACAATGAGTACTTCCGTGTTTTTATGGAGAACCTCACCAAGAAGACCAAACAGACCATCAGCCTGTTCAAGGAGGGCAAAGAGCGCATGTATGAAGAGAATTCCCAGCCCAGGTAAGTGCATACTGCTCAGAATCACCTATCATCTCCTATAACAGTAACATGGCGATGTACTGCAATAGAAAATATACTGACTCCCAAAGTATATCGTTTTAACTTCCATGCTGAACTTTGAGTCAATATAGTAATTATAACTTACAAGCCTAAGTGCAAAGTTTTGCAGTATGCTATTTGAACGTTTGTGGTCAGGATGCCACTCTTATAGCTGCCTACTTGTTGCTTTGTTTTTGCACACCTTCATCCTGTATGACTCCTTGACATTGTGGTTGCTTTATTCTGACTCAGTTATGTTTGACAGCACATTTGCGCATGTACTAGATGTAGTACACATCTACAAATTCTAATCTGACAATATGTGCAAGTAGTACAGCTTCGATGTAAATAGAGTGGTTCAAAATGACAAGCTTAACAAGGGCAAGGGTGAATGACAATGTCTTTGGGGCTGTTCTGTTAAAGCTTTCAGTCTGTGTCTCACTTTATCTTGACTTTTTTATGCATATTCAGGTCATTGTTTCTGGCACTGGAGTAGGCTGGTAGGGAATGTAGAATATATGGATGGTTGTTTTAACAGTTATAAATTATTGATTGATAGACAAAACAAACTATAATTTATAAAGACTCAACTTTATGTTATCTTTTGTCTTAAAATTCTGACCTTGATTATGGAGCATTTTGTAGTTCTACAATTTATGCCCCATATCTTGCATTGTTCATAACTCAGAACTGTACACATCCTCATCTTGCTTCTTAGTTCCTCTGTGCATTTTTATTTGAGCTGTTTGTATTCTTGCTGATTTACTAAGACAAAACAGAAGAGGAAGCCACCATGTAACCACCCCTGTGAGCTTGCTGATAACACACTGTGTGAAGCATTTTGACCACTCTCTGAAATTAAATTTCATCAGAACTTTATTGCACCAAGAAGCTGTTCAGAAAGAAATTCCTGCTGGAGGCAGAGGAAATGCTTGTACACACAGAGAGCTAAGAGTTGCGCACAAAGACCACTATTGTCAGAGTGGAGAAGGCAGTAGCAGTGACACTAACCAATGGGGATCAGCCCACTTGAGAATACTGCACCTCTGACCAATGCCGTTGCACCAATAAACAGCCTTGTGTGTGGCTCCAACCAGAAGTCACTGAACTGCTGTCATTCAAGTTCAGTGCTTAGAATAAACTGCATGTCATCTTTGTTGTATTGTTATTGTATCACAAATGCATTTTGCCTGCCGTCCAAGTGAAAAAGGGTAATTTCTGATCTAAGAGATATATTGTGTTCACATGGGTTTGAGTGCCTCCACCGTGATGTAAAGTGCACTCTGGTCTCAACATACAAGCTGTACATGAAATTCTATAGATCAGACATAGGCTTGTCCTCTGTGACTATACTTCCCACCCCAGTGGGAGGTACAGGAGGAAGTCTATGCAGACACAGGGAGAACATGCAAACTCCAGACAGACAAGCCTAGTCTTGTCTGAAAATCCAACACAGAAGCTACTTGCATGAAGCCAGTGTTGCTTATATTTAGGGGGTCCGCTGGCAAATGGTATTACTGCAGAATTAACCGGCCCAGTATCAAAAGAGCAATTAAGAGGTTCCGACAATATTGACTGAGCTAATTTATGTTACTTCTTACATTCTTGAGTTCCTAGATATAATTTTCTCAATAATGTAATAATATGTAAATAACAAGAGGCCTCATACTTTTCTTTAAAAATGTTTGTAACTTCCACTTGAACTTTGTAACTGTCACAAGGTTCTTCTTAAATAACAGTTGCACTTGATTCACCAACAACCAGTTATGATCTCCACGGCACTCACTTACATTCAAAATGAATATGTATTTAGTAACAAACTCCCTTTAAACATCCATTCGGCTAATACGGGCTTAGCATTATTACATGTGAAAGTGCGAGGGTGAGAGAGAGTGAACAAGGAAGTCAGATGTAGCATGTCTACAGACTACCGCTATTTTACAGCTGTCACTGCAGCCTGTAAAGCTTGTTAGACCAAATAGACTACATGCTCTATAAAACTCCTCATAAATATTATCACATAGTAATATTTTTATAGGAAATAATTTAAGAAAATGTATAACTTACAGTCTTAGAGGAATTAGAATTTTTGATTGCATTATCAAATTAATAATATTCTAAAACTGTAGAATTTAGGTCCTTACAAGTGCTCTTGACTGTTTATAAGATTTGTTCTTTCAGAGGAACATTTTCAGTTAAGAAAACATTTTGTGAACACTAAAAATGGTCCTAAGAGGGTATTAAGTACAAATTTGTAAGAACGCTTCATTAATGAGACCCAAAGATTTTTAGTCTGTGTGCGAGTGTCCTGTCCTAGTATCTAGGCCTCATTGAGGCATTGGTTTAAGAAGTTGTTTATGGCAGGTATATTCTTTTTTACAATTATTCTTAGGGATAAAGGTCAAATGGCAATTTGAACATACATTGACAGAGAATTGTTTGGCAGGTCTTTGAAACAATTATTTTCTACTTTTCTACTTTTTGTTTTTTCAGCTCGGATTGTGTGACTATAAACGATCTGCTAAAACATAAAAAAAATTACAAATGTAACAGTCGCACTATGACATGGGTTAGTTGTCTGAACTGAATAACACTGAGGGGAGGTCAGTAGGCTTTATTCACGCTTACCAGAAGACGTTTGGAAACATGCGGATGATGACTTCCGGTGTAGTTACCGACACTGGGCATGTGATAAAACTGTGGATTCAGCAGCAGCGCTCTTCACAACCTGCCAAAACTTTCCATGGGGGACATGCCTTTAATCTCATCTTCACTTATAGCCAGTTGGTTGTAACTGTTGATCTGCCGAACATAACGGAAAGCCACAGTGACATCTTTTTAAATTTATTTTTATTTTTTTAATTAGACAAATTGTAATACACAAATTAATAGACAATCTAGATGAAGAAAACCGGGTCATTTTCTCAGTTTTCTATCTGTTACCATTGCCAACAGAGAAAAGGAAAGGAAGTCGTCATCCACATGTTTCCAAACATCTCCCAGTTTTTTGACGCAAGTGTGAATAGCCTATTCAAATCACTGTAAAATTACAGTCACTTTAACAGGGTGAAGGTTGCACATTTGAAGCACCACATGGCACAAAATGGTTAATATTATATGTAAAACTTTTGATTATTTTTGGCTGAAAACACACAGTAGAAAATGTAGATTCCAGACGTGCTTCACTGGTATTAACTACAAAAGTCAGTGCAAACAACTTCCTCCTTCACAGCAGATGTACTATCTGATCTTTACAGATTAACATGGATATTTCTAAAACTGGTGAATATGTAATGACATTTTTACATTTTACATATGGTATAATCAGTGTTGTGCATGAACGCGTTCATTTTTCAGTGAACTTTGAACTGAACGCAACACTTTTGTAAATCAAGAACTTGAACGTGAATTTATTCAAATTATGTGTGATGAACGACGTACGTCACTGTTGGGGTTCAGTTAAACGTCAGAATTTGTTTTCACCTGACGAGTGACGATCTGCTCGCACTTCACCTCGCGAAACCACAGCCGCGTGTCAACGCGAAGGCGACTCCACCGGCAGCTTTAGCGGAACGTACGGGCTCTTGTGTCTCTCAATGGGAAAGTCAATCAAACTTGACTGGGCGCGTTTCTGTGCAGTCTGACCACGGCAAACGCAAGGATTTCAAAAGTAAATTTCAAAGCACTAATTAAAAGTGTATGTGGATCTGGGCTCTTTCACATGATACAGAACTGCCCAGGGAGCACAATGTGCTGATGGTAAATGCACAAATACAACAACAGATACATGCTCTCTGTGTATTTTGACGGAGATACGCGCCTACGCTCGTGTAGAGCGTCAAAAAATAGGATGGATCCTATTTTCTGAAATCTACACGCACAGGACGTGCTGCTCCGCGCGCGTATTATTTTACTTGGTACAAATGTCAGTAACGCGCGTCACAATGCTTTTTTAACCTGGATTGAAATTGTGGGTTTTTCGTTTTTCTTCATACAAATTTGCTAAAATCACCGCGATATCAGCAGCGGTGAAACGCCGGAGGTGCGCCGTGATCCTGAGCGAAAGGACCGACGCAGAAGTCCGCGCTCCACCGAGCTAAACGCAGCTGACGCCCGATCGCACTCGGGGTTCTCTCAGGGGCGGTCCTAGATTCCAAGTTCTAGTCCAGGATTAGTCCTGGTTTAGTCCTGGTTCAGTTCTGGTTTAGACCTGGTTCAATTCTGGTTTAGTCTTGGTTTATTCCTGGTTTAGACCTGGTTCAGTCCTGGTTCAGTCCTGGTTTAGTCTTGGTTTATTCCTGGTTTAGACCTGGTTCAGTCCTGGTTCAGTTCTGGTTTAGTCCTGGTTTATTCCTGGTTTAGACCTGGTTTAGTCCTGGTTCAGTTCTGGTATAGACCTGGTTTAGTCCTGGTTTAGACCTGGTTTATTCCTGGTTTGGACCTGGTTCAGTTATGGTTTAGACCTGGTTTAGTCCTGGTTTAGTCCTGGTTTAGTCCTGGTTCAGTCCATATACGGCGCAAAAGTTCAGCATCTTAACAGTTCTTTTGGTGAGAGTAAATTAAAAGTGCGGCAATAGTCATATAATGTTTTACATTTTAAATACAGTAATATTGTAATGTAACAAATTACTTTGAAATGACAGTAACAAGTCATAAATAACACATTACAGTTTTAAAGTCACTTGTCCAACAGTGTATCTTGTAAAGTTGTTGTAAACTAGAAGTCAGTTTGAAAAATAAATGCAGCCTTTCATTTACAGATCTCATCTAAATATAAAATGAACTGAACTTTGAACTAGTTCAAAATTAAAATTGTGAACTATGAACGTGAACTATTCACTTTGAACAAGTGTGAACTGAACTGAACTAGTTCATGAAAAGTGTGAACTTGCACAACACTGGGTATAATACAATTTTGTTTTTTGCATGTCATTTTCACCCACATTTTTATAGATTTGACTTCCTTTTCACATGTACCACAACGGCTCATCTTTGACAGTTCCTCTTCTTATAAGGTCAGTTGCAGCAATGCTGCTCTTGGACCATGGCACAAAAAGAAACAACATTCTATAACTATTTATAATATTATTTTATTGACACATCATTGGTTCATATGTTTGCATCCATGAGATAAGATGGAACTGGCTTTTTATCCATATAATGGCTCTACAGTGTTTGTAGCTGTGTGATTCTTTGTTTAAGAAAAGATGAATGACTTGAGAGAAAGGATATTTTAGTATTTTTAAATAATAGTTTATTTATGAAGACACATCATTAATTGAGTCTCAGTGTTTATAGTGATATTAGTGCAGGGTGCAGGGCAACTGTGATGGAGCAGAGGAGAGAAGCTTTCATGGTGAGCCTAGCAGCTAAGCGTCTGCCAGTGTTGGAAATGAAAAGCTTAGCTAACACTTCAGAGGCTTCAAGTTGTTGAGCTGCAGTTACTTTGCCTCCTCGCGTTTCTGTTGAAGCCCTATGCGTTGCTCTGCTCATCACACAAATAACAGCGCATCATCATGGTTATTTATGTCCCTGCAGCCTCCACCAGCACCTCATGTAGTCACACTCACACTATTGGGTTATGGTGATTAGCATGATGCAAGCTGTTAGCGTCTTTGCCCTGTGGGGTCCAACAGGCACTTGCTGTTTTTCCACTAGGATAACAGAGGCAGCGATGATGAAGCCCGTCAGCTGTATAAAAAGAGATTAGACAAAGTTTTTACTGCTTATCTTTACTAATCGGATGTTGCATTTGCAAGAAAAACATGTCACTAAAACCTCATATCTGATAAAGCCAAATCTGATAAAGGTAAGTATTTGGCTGGGCTCACATCTCCAAAAGGTATCCCAGCATTCAAGTGGCGTCTGTATTTCTCCCTCAGTAGAAGCACAGAGGACTGTACCACTGACCTTTTGGAAAAACAAGGAAGTGGGTCTAAATTTCTTATAAAAATGAAGCCTGTATATGTTTGATCAGCATTTCCCATTTTAGTCCTAACGTAAGATAATACAGCTGTGTGATGCTTTTCCAGTGCCTTGTGCTGCCTGGTGCCAGTTCAGGCACACTCTTGGTGTAACAGTGAGCCCTGCTGCTGTGGTGTATTAGCGCTGTGCAAAGTTGGCTGGCTAGTTGTGCTACCTTATCATAGCTAGCAGGAAACAGGAAGGGAGCAGCCAGCTGCAGGGTCAGAGGTCAGTCTATAACATGAGGGGGAGGCTGAACAAAAAAAAGTCCTCAAAAAGACACAACTTTAATGTAGTTGTCCTATGTCTGCCTTTTCAATAATTATAACAACCACCTTGGTGTCAGCTTCACATGTCAAACATGTTCATCTTTTAAAACATGCTCTGAATCATTCTCTAATGGTCATATATTATATCCTTTTCCAGCGGTGTGTGAAGGTAAACAGAAGACACAAATCAGCTTGGCTTCCACAAACACTGATGGTGTTATAAAAGAGTCTGTAGATCAGCTACTTCTTATATATGCTCATTTTAATGATTTAATGATTTGTGTAGATTTATCAACCATTTCCTGACCTGATAGGGTCACCACTCTTTATTTAATGGTCTTATTTTACCTCTTTGTTGAAAAGGTCCCAGCAGCCACTGTGGTATGGATCAGTTATCTTTGCTTAGTTAGTGAGCGTCTTCTTGAACACAACTGAAATGTAATGGTGTTTTTAAAGGAGGCAAGTTGCCTGCTCGGCATGAATGTTTAAAGTTCAGAGAGAGGACTGTTGTGAATAAGTGGATTCACAAGATGCTAAGTGGACCTAGATGTGAAAATTAAAGCTTTTGACTGAGGAATTTAATCTCCACATACTTTGAAATAAGCAGTTCTTCATGTGATTATGGGACAGATAAAAATGCTTTGGAAATGCTCAATCTGTTCAAAGTGTTCATGTACCTTTAAGACTAAAGAGGCCAGAAGGGCCAGGAAGCAAAGCCACTGCAGAGGACAGATGCCCTGCTGAGATGAAAACCTGTTAAAAACAAAGCAAAAATGCAGTGTCACAAACCTGCATTTTTGTGAGATGTCACAAGACTACACCTGTGTGATCTCTTTGACGAAATGCCTGGGGAGATTTCAGTATGTGTGAGTGAGTGGTACTGTTTTGATTTTAAGTTGGCAGAGCAGTTCAAAAAGGAAAGAAAATGACACAATTTAATATATTTTGGCAATGTATTTGTTTTCTGAATGAATGGTCATCCTAACAAACACTTGTTTTGGCATTCTGGCAGCATACACTAATGGTATTCATTCTTCCTCAGTCACTGTCCCCTCTTCATTGCTCTCATAGGGCTGCTAGTGTCGTGCAGGACAGCTGCAGTGGAGCCACGCTTTCTTAGCAGCCCCTCTTGTGCATGTCAATTCACCCGGGCCCAAAGCACCGCACAATCTCCCTGTGTGCTGCCTCATAAATCATGGCTTTCTCAGCACTTCACTTCTGATGCTGCAGAGATGGGCGGCAGGATTACAGTCACATTGAACTACTTCCTCTTCCATTTGTGTCTGTTCATATGTTTTACAGTCCTCATAGCCTTGCCAAGCCATTACGATTTTACTGTTATGAAAAGGCACCAGTATGACAGCCTGTGTCACTTCAACGTTCCACTCTGTTCCGCTGTCACCTATCACCCATCGGGCACAATACATATTTTAGTCACCACGTCTCCTGATACTGTTTACATATTTACACCAGTTAGAACTACTGTCTCCCAGGACGTGTGTGTGTGTGTGTGTGTGTGTATATATGTGTGTATATGTGTATGTGTGTATATATACATTTAAAGTGTAACTGTCCCCCTCTATAGGCGTAACCTGACGAAGCTGTCCCTGATCTTCAGCCATATGCTGGCCGAGTTGAAGGCCATCTTCCCCAACGGCCTGTTTCAGGGAGATAACTTCCGCATCACCAAGGCCGATGCTGCAGAGTTTTGGAGGCGTGCCTTTGGGGACAAGTAAGTGCTGTTGCTCCAGACTCCTGCAGTGGGCATCCACAGGGACCCGTTCCAAGTATCTGGCAGGAGAATGAGTTTAATTATTAATGTTATTTTAATATAGAGGTGTTATTATATTAACTGCAAGTAGGGATTATTTTACTGTTACTTTCCTTTTCATATTACCTGCTATGTATAACTTGTGTATCAATGACCATACACATTACAAATACAGTCTTAATTAAAAATTGGATCATAAAAAAAACAAATTTATATCCAGCCTCTTGCTGAATGCTGTTGAAGTTAACGCACATCGTCCAGGTAAAATTTTTTCTCATTAGAGAATGAAACTAAATACAAATGTATGCTTGCTTCAAATTTCTTTCCAAGACATGCACCACTGATAAAGGTAAAGTCCAGTCAGTAAAGGTTGTCCTGACCAAGTCTAGCTTAAGATCTGAACAAGATCTGCGATTCCTACTTCCTGACAGGTTGGCTTAGTGGCAAATGCAGAAGAAAAATGTCACAATGAAGTGTAACATCTTCTTTGCAAAGCTACTTAAAACACACTAAAAGTCAGCAATATTTGTATTTTCCTGTAGTTGTGGAAGTGGCATATATATTAGTTCTCATTTTGAGTGCTTCTTCTGTTGTCCTATTTTATTGTTTGTACAGGACCATTGTGCCTTGGAAGGTGTTTCGTCAATCTCTGCACGAGTTTCATCCCATCAGTTCGGGGTTGGAAGCCATGGCTCTCAAGTCCACCATAGACCTCACCTGTAACGACTACATTTCAGTGTTTGAGTTTGATATTTTCACCAGGCTATTCCAGGTAGGGGACACATAGAACAATTTTCAATGCTCCTAAAGTAATGCCCTAAGCTTATAAATATGCAACTGTGTATAGTGAGGGGAGTCAATACAAAGCCTTCTAGTAGTTGGTGCTAGAGTGTGGTGTTTGATCCAATTTGCAATACCACAAGGCAGTTAATAATGTCCTATTAGCTATGAGCCATTATTTACGTGTAGTGCAGGTGCTCTCAAAGTAGGGCAGAATAAATAGAAAGTTAACAGTGACATTGTAGAATGTCCAGATGGGGTGGGTACCCGTGTTCTGTTACATGAGCTGTGATGATCACTGAGTGACTCACACTTTTTCTTTTTTCTCTGAAGCCCTGGTCATCGCTGCTGCGGAACTGGAACAGCTTGGCAGTTACTCATCCTGGATACATGGCCTTTCTTACGTACGATGAGGTCAAAGCACGTTTACAGAAATTCATTCACAAACCTGGCAGGTGAGATTTCAGGAATAACTTAACTTTAGACCTGAGTCTTTTCAGATTAGTTGCATCAGAGCATCATGTATAGGAGTATGCTCTTATGCACAAAGCATCTCTTTTTCTGTCTGATAAGTCCTAACCTAAGCGTATAGGTTAAACATGTGTCATGTGTTGCTATTGGAAACAGCCTAATTTATGTCACTAAAGGGAAATGCTTTTAAGGTCCACTTTTTTCTTCCTATGGTTCAAGAGCAGTTGGCTAGAATAAATTGTAATGTTTTTAAGATGTCAAAATAATATAGTTTGTACAAATGCAGAGCTTCTACTGCAATATCGTAGTTGTGTAATTTTTTTAAATTTCATGTGTTGTTTCTGTGCAGTTACATTTTTCGCCTGAGCTGTACACGGTTGGGCCAATGGGCCATTGGTTATGTGACTGCAGATGGAAACATCCTCCAAACCATACCCCATAACAAACCCCTTTTCCAGGCTCTCATTGATGGCTTTCGTGAAGGATTGTAAGTGTGATTCATTGTTGCTCACTTGATGATACCATATTCTGCATGTGTGCGATAATTTGTCAGGTTCAGCCTGTATTATGTGCAGATAGGCCTTTTTTATTTACCCCAAAAACTTTGTCTACACTGATTGAATTGTGTGTTTGAAGTTGTTGTGATGATGATGTCTCTGTGTAATACAGGAGAGGCTCTTTTTTTAAACTCATTAATTTGCATTTACAGTTATTTATATCCTGATGGACGCACACAAAACCCTGACCTGACTGGACTGTGTGAACCTTCTCCTCAAGATCACATAAAAGTCACTCAGGTATGAGCAGATTCTTCTTAAATACTGATTAATCTCAAAATTTGTGCCAGTGTTTGCTGCAGAAAGCTCACGGTTGTCTCATGTTTTCCCCTCAGGAGCAGTATGAGCTGTACTGTGAGATGGGCTCTACATTTCAGCTGTGTAAGATTTGTGCAGAGAATGACAAGGACGTGAAGATCGAGCCCTGCGGTCATCTCATGTGCACATCATGTCTCACTGCCTGGCAGGTACGTGGGAGGACTCTGGGGCTTGTGTGGGTTGGTTGCTCAAAGTCTGTTTGAGAACATTTGAAAGTGGAAAACCTATCCACTGAAATGCTGCTGGTATTTGAAATCATTGTGCCTGATTGTCTGTGTGGCAGGAATCAGAAGGTCAGGGAACGGGCTGTCCATTCTGTCGCTGTGAGATTAAAGGTACTGAGCCTATTGTGGTGGACCCGTTCGACCCCAAAGACAACAGCGGGGTTTGTGGAAGAGGAACGTATGGTGCAGAAGGCGCTCCCTCTCCAAGTTATGATGATGACGATGACGACAGACTTGAAGATCCACATCTCATGATGAGTAAACTCGCTTGTAGCAAGGTGAGGAGATGACTACATTTGAACACACAGCTAAGGTTGATGACAAAAAATAGTTAATTACGTTTGATGCACATATAAACCTTGATTGACTTCATAGCTCTTTTCACTTTTAGTCAGCTTTAAACACAAACTGTAATATCAAGGCCCACCATTCTGTTTTTCACAGTTTGACATATGCCTTTGTTTTAACACAGAAGTATCTGGTGCTGTCATACATTCTGAACTGCATATGGTGATGTTTTATCATTCAGGTAGAGCGTCCCCCTTCACCCATGTCTGTAGCCCCACAGTCATCTCTACCCCCAGTACCACCCAGACTAGACTTACTACCACCTCGACCATCCAATTCTTCTGGAACCTCTAGTCCAGGGGTGACCAGCAAGGTACTGTACACTCTCATGGTCAATTCCATTGCTGTGTTAACGTGTGTATCACATTGTGCTCATATGCCTAAAAACTGTTTTCATTCTTTAGGCAGCATCTCTCCACAAAGACAAACCCCTCCCACTGCCTCCAGCCCTCAGAGATCTGCCTCCGCCCCCTCCCCCAGACCGCCCACACACCAGTGGGACAGCTGCTGATGTGCGCTTACAGAGGCGGCCCTTACCTTGCACTCCAGGGGAAGCTCCTCGAGATAAGCTCCCTCCCACTCCTCCGAACCGACCGCTGGCGGAGTGGAACACACGGCCGGTTCCCAAAGCTCCCACCTCCTCCGCGTCCCCCTCCTCTTCGTCCACTCCAGGCTCTAGTCTTGGGGGAGACTTACGAGCAGGTGTCCGGGAGCTCTCTAACAGACACTCCCTACCACTGGCACTGCCCTCCTCTCTGGATACACGCTCCGACTCGCCCAAAAACAACAGCTCACCCTGTTTAGACCACCAGCTGGTGAGAGCCACAGCACGTACTATAAACAAATTACATAGTTTTATCTAGTGTCAACCAGGTGATGGTGTAATTTTCTGTAGAACAGTTGTAAATATGTACTTTTTTTTTTTTTTTACTGAAATTTCTTCACTTGCAGAATTTAGCTGCCATTGTTGGTCAAGATTACGACAACCCCAAAGTCAAGCCCTCAGCTTCAGCCAATGCCATTTACTCTCTGGCCAGCAGGTACTTAGGCCTGTTCTACTGCTGCTGTACGTATGTAGAATATTGATTTTGTGTGTGTTTATGCTTTGATCATTTTTCTTCAGGCCCTCTCCAGTGCTCAGGCCTTTAAGTGCTGATGAGACACGGGACAACGGAGAAGAGTCCGAGTACATGATCCCCTCATCCCGGCCCGTTCTCCCTCCCATCACTACCCCCTCTACTGCAGAAACTTCACCTGCCTCACGACTTCCACAACCTGTTCCACAGACCCAAGCAGCTACACTCAATTCACGGTACAGTAAGCTGCCTCTTTATTGACTTTAAATGTGTTGTCCTCTCACACCCCAGTTGACTGTATTTGATCAATTGCTGTAGGATTGCACTGGCAGATTTGGAGGATGGACCTCAAATGTATGAGGCTATGTACAACATTCAAGCCAAGTCTCAGCAAGCTACAGATTCAGGTATTTGCAGCATTAATTTCTTCAGTCTACTGTTGCTTCCCTGTTCTCAGCTCAGGATTAACATACAATCTACATATAATTTCACTCATAAAATTCTTTGTTCTTTTTCAAGACTACTCTGAGTTGCCTCCCCTGGTGTTGACCAATGGGCCCAGAGACCTGTCATCTGAGGAAAGGGAAGAAGATGAGAATGGTTATGACTATCCCAAACCCAAAGTACCACTGCCCCCAACACGTCGCACCTTGTCAGAGTTGGGAGGATCTTCATCATCATCTTCTTCATCTTCTTGCTCCTCTTCTGTAACTGCTTTTAGTCGCTTGTCTCTGGACTCAGATGCTGGTGTTGGATGTAAGATTTAACTTTTACTTTTATTGAATGAAACTTCCTACATTGTGACCATATAGTGGACAGTCTTATCAAATGTATCCAGTTACCAATACTAGAGAAAAACACATTCAGTCAACTGGCAGTCAGTCAACTTGAAGAGTTCTACCTTTCATTGACTTTCTATCTGTGGATGAATATTTTCCACCTATTATAATTACCCAGTGTCTGGGTATTGCCTTTAAGACATACACTTGTGTATATAAGAGCCAATTAAGAGTCTGTCGGCGCAGTTAGTTGCTCGGCCTGTCAGCAGGTCTGAGTGCTTCATTAATGTTGTAAAGCAGTGAAAAGGTCATCCACTTTACTGAACATAATGTATCATATGTGAGACTCCATTTTACTGTATAAGAGTTGTTGTCTACTTTACTTTAAACACATTGAGGCAATTTTATATTTATTTCTGAACCACAACAATAGTTGATATGGTTTTAGAATAAAACTCAAAAGTTCCCTTTTTATGTTCAGCCTTCACAGAAGCAGTGGAAGCACCAGAGAGACCCCCCAAGCCCTTACCAAGGCGAATCAACTCAGAGCGTCGGCCGAGCCCTGTGCCCTCTGTGCCCCCTGTGTCCCTGGTCCCTGGCCCATCCAGCAGCAGTGCTACGGGTGGAGAGGCCAACCCTCAGATCAGCAGTGAGATTGAGCTGCTCATGAGTCAGGGCTACTCCTACCAGGACATCCAGAAAGCACTGATGATTGCACAGAACAATGTAGAAATGGCCAAGAACATCCTCCGTGAGTTTGTGTCCATTCCCACAACTGCGCATGTCCTCACATAGCGCTGTGCCTCTCATGCCTTGTTAGCTCAGCCTCATTTGGCTTGTTGGGTGTAGGTTGGTAAGTCCAGCCACAGCACTGGCCTCGGTACAGACGGCCATCTTCTCCCTGTGGATTTTTTGTTGGCTATTGCAGCATCTCTGGGATATGTGCCCTGCACTCCATGCGCTTTTTGAAACCATTTGGCCTTTGTCACAGGCTCAGACAGGCCGTCTCTCTCTCCTACCTGGACAAAGTGAGTGAATGTGGAACACTGTTGGGACACAATGCAGTAACTCTCAGAAGAGGAACCCTTATGTCATGAAGCTTCTTGCTGAAAATGTAACCAACACCTCACAAAATAAAACTAAAATGTTTGTCTATATGAAAATTTAATATATGAGTAAGTATATATTAAATGTATGTAATATATTCTGTCTGTACTTCAACATTGTGTGAAAATTGTTGCGGTTGGTACAGGCGATTGTAGAAGGCACTTGTCTGACAGGTTACTGTCACAAGAGGTCCTCTCTGGAGGTCATATGGCTCTTCTCTGCAGGGCGTTTTTATGAAGTCAGTTTTGGCTTTGAAAAATGACGCTTGGGTACGATGTTTTCTTGGATTGTTTTGTCATATGGTAAATTAAAAGTAGCATGATGGTGGTTGTAGTCTCAACTGTCCCTAGGCGGTTGTCTGTTTGACCCCTGACCTCTTCTTAAAGGACTCCTGTGAATGTGGAGTGTGGTCAGTGTAGAACTGCCCTGACAGTGAGATTCTTGGACTCACAGTTCATTCGAGGTGTTAGGGGTGACTTGGTTTGACTTTGTCTCAGACTTGGTCTAATATGAAATAAATAGTTCATTTATTTACTTTAATATATTATTGTAATATGATTGAATATGATATTGTTATTACAAAATAATTCAGAAGTGCTTCACTGCTGCTACTATTATTAGTGCTAAACAATTAAGCCTTAAATGTACATTTGTGAATATTCAGTTTAATCGTCATGTTCTTTAAAGTGACAGTATCATGGATGATTTTTTTTTTTCTTTGTTTTTTGTCTGTGATGTAGCATACTTGAAAGTCTACGCAGCTCATGAGTCTGCATCTCAAGCTGTTCTTCAGTATTTTACCATTTTAAGTTAAAAAATAAAATGTGTATAGAAGAATAGTGAAGAATTTAATACATCAGCTATGAAAATATTATGTTCTTTTACCATTTCAAGCTTTTTCTTTTTTCTCAGAGAGAAGTAGGCTTGTGGCTTTGCTGGCCCACCCCCAGGTCTACATTTAAATCAGTATTTGGGCCCACTGTAAGAACCTATCTCAGGAATAATATTTATGTAGTCAAAGTGGCGTTCACCCCAGCTGTTTAAACCCAAGAAAAACTCATGCCCATTCAGGGGACATGTAGCCAAAAAGCTCCTCTTATGAAGTCACACAAGTAGCCTGTATTTTATTTGCACATATTTTAACATTGCAGGAGGAGAGACCGCAACTTTCATTTCAGGTACTATGAACACAAAGTGTAGTAAAGTAAGGTGCAGAGGTACGCCGACTTCTCCCAGCATATGAAGAATGTTTTTGGGAGGAAAATCACAACATTTACCTAATTTATTTGAGTAGCTTTGTCTGATGACTGAAAGCTATCTTTTTCTGTCCGAGTTGCCTTGAGAACTTTATGAATGATGGGTAATGGCTGGGATATGTGTGGTCGTCATACTGTACCAATGTTTTGTATTATTTACTTATTTCGCACATAATCCAGCCGTGTACTTTGATACTGTCACTCTAAAGGAGCTCAGTTGTACAGTTAGTGGTTAAAATTGCTGTTTTATTTCATTTGCATTCCTGTAAAGGTAATTTGTTCCAAAGGTTTTGTTTACTCTTGTGAAAATCTCTGCGAGCAGTGCCATATTTTTGGAGATCCTCATCACATCAGGTAGTGTTGATGGGTGGGGGTTGTGCAGTATTGCTTGTAAATCCTGTCTTGTCAGTGATGAACCATGTTCAGTCTGTTTGAGGACAAGTGAAGGTGTGTGAAAGATTTCTGCTCCCTCTGACCCGAGGATGAGGCGGACTCAAATCAGTGAGTTCTCAAGTACATCACGTTGTGTGTAGCAAGACCCTGCACTGGGTCATATACCTCTCTGCCACTAGAGGGAGTGCTTATTCCACATAGTCGCGTTGCTTTGCATCAGTAAAGGCATTCATTAACTTTTTGATGTTTTTAAAGCCCATATCACTTTGGAAGTATGCACAGTGCTGTTAATAAAATGTTAAGAAAATGTTGTGAGTTATGTTTTTGTTGTTGGTTTGTTTTTTGTTTTTACTTTTTTTTTTTGTCCTTTTTTTTTTACTTTTATTGACATTTCATGCAAATAAGAATAGGCTTATTACATTCAAATAGTTTATTTTGTAAATTACAAATACTTTTGTTGGTTCTTTGTTTTTTTAAAATCATAACTTAACAATTTACATGATCAAAACTGTAAATGTCAATTTAAAAATGATGTACAGCGCTAGTTTAAATACATGTGATGTGTCTTTGATTGTCGTCTAACTTGAATTGCATGGAGTCAGTCATTCCCCTCCTCAGTAGTTCTCCATTGTATCTCAGTGTAACAGTAATAATAAATGAGGAAGAGCTGTCACTATAAGTCATCAAGTTTGAGGGGAATCTCAAACAAATTCAAGTTAAATTCAAATCCATGTTGTAGCAGAATGAAAACTATGAGGACGGAGGTGTCATTCCGTGAATCAATATTCCAAAAGAGTCATTTAAGATCAACTAAGTATTCACATTAACACAAAAGACATCAGTGCTCCAACATTAAATAAAAGAGTTAAAAATGTGCCTTAAGCTTCACCTTTGCAATACAATGCAAATCAAATGAACCAAACTACAGTGAAAAACAAACTCTACATAAGCTACAGTTTAACAGTCCTAAGTCTTTGGTGTTGGCTGAAAAGGCTGGAGCTGGTTATCCTCTTGAGCTTTCAGTGTTCAGACTTGGGCACAACAAACAGTTAAAAAGGATCCAAACTGAAAACTCTTTAGGCTCCACAAATGGCACCAAATCATCCTAAACTGTTCTTGTCTTTTTTGTATTTTTATTTATATGTTTAAATAAAGAAATATATACATAAAGGTTTCATATATACACAATAAGAGCTTTTTAGCTGCTCTTTGGTGATTGCTTTGCCTGAGGTGATGCCATAGGGGTAGAAAAAAATATCCGTGCTATAATAGCAGATCTATAGACAATCAGTCCGCAGGCAGTCCAGGGCATCATATACAATTGTGCTATTTGAACAAAAATGCCAGGCTGTAAAGGGCAGCAAGTCCAAGGAGCTCCAGTGAACAGCTAAGGCTTTTTTTTGATCACTTCACTCAGAGTATAAGGAGGTCCGGTAGAAGCAGAAGGCAGAGTTATCTCATCTGAGCCTGAGAGGAGAAGGAGAGGAGGTAGCAGCTGTCACCTACTGTCCCCCCACAATGCAGGACAATTTTCACTATACAAACAAAGAACAATATTAGATATACATGACATTACAGTGATGCTCTAAAATGTCACTGGCAGAAAACAGAAAACTTACCTGAAGTTGCTTCTCTCCATTGACACCAAGGAGCACCGCTTCCTCTGTGTTGTCACTCTTCATCTCCACAACAATGTTGTCTTTACCAGCCTTTCCTTTACTTCTAAAACAGCAAATATATCAAATATATTATTTAATAGCTATGACAGTCTGGTTAGTACTCTTCTCTCCACTCTCTTTCCCAATTTGACCAAAGACAAAAGTTAGATTTGTGAAAGGATAATACCGACAAGGTGAGAGAGTATGTTACTACATATGTATTGTACTGTACTTCTTAGTGAGATCTTTCTCTATCCAAAAGCTAACTGACCAAACAGATGGAAGTATTTGTGCAGACCCAAAGTGCTGTACACTACACAAGTGACAGTGAGCTGGTTAAAACAGCTCATTAATAATTTTGATTTGATATTAACAGAATTCTGCAGGAGTTCTTCATTTTAAAAATGTACTTACAGATCTTGCTTGCCTGATCGACCACAGATCTTGCCCTTTTTGTAAAGAAAATAGAGTACACTGCCCAAAATGGCCAGCAGCAGGATGCATATGATGATGACTGCAATGATAACACCACTGCCCTCTGGTGGAGAAACAGCACACATAGAACCCCAGCGTTATTCAAATACAAATCTGTTACCAGAAGTTGATGAGGGATAAGATAAGTGGGAGAATCAAGCAGGCTGTGCAGCATTCATCATTGGAGTGAAGAAACAGAGCTTTGTACAGAGCAGTGGTAGCAGCATTCATGTGACCGGCGCGTCCTACACAAGTGAGGAAGCAGATGTAGATGCTTCTACACCAACATGCACAGAAAGGTGAAGTGGACTTGTGAATGTGTGACACTAGGGGCGAGAGAGGAGGGACTGTGAAGAGAAAGGAGCAGGGCCATTTCTGCAGTCTTACAAACCTTTCTTGAGAGTCTCTGAAGGGTTATCTGTTTGAGGTTTGACTGAGAAAAACCAAATGACAACAGTGAGCAGTGAGTACTATTAAGTATTAATAGTATTAATTAAGTATTAATGGTCAAAAAACTGTGGTAATAATGTATATATAATGATATTTATGTGTTTGGAACTCATTGCAACGCTTAAAACGTGACTTTTTCAGATGTTTCTGAAGTACAAAAAGACATGAGACAGACAGTGTACAAACATGGCAGCTGTATAATAGAAGTCAGCAGACCGACTACAAGTGCATTACTGAGAATCAGCTGCCTCCACACTGACACTGTGTGTTTATGTGTAACTGTGGGCTGTGATGCTTAGAGGCACTAAATAATTTATGTTTAAAACATACAGGTATCAGTCATTACGGCCAACAACAAATGACCATTGTTAAAAGATTTATGTGGGGGGCTGACCTATGTATTTCCATACGAAGAGCAGTTACTGTATGGCATGAGTTATACAGTTGTGTTTCTCTTATTTCTGGGTGGTGTTTTAAAGCATTATTGAAGCTGTCCCCTCTTTGTAGAGCTGGTGCAGCTACATATCAAAGGTTCTGTCAAGTACTTAATTATGTTGATCTGGCTGTCCCATTTATAAAATAATATCATAAAATGTAATATCTGTGAAATATACTAAATAATACTTTTAACATTACTACTGTAGTGTAAATACATTTAGCTGTATTATTTTTAACTTAAAGGTGCAGTATGTAACTTTCTTGTTGGAGTAACTTATGTCTCCATACAAGCAATTGACACCACTAAAGCTAAAGTACAGATCAGATCCATGGAAAAGTAAGCCCGTACTGCATGTTATCCAAGGCATTTTTACCAAGAAAGTACTGAATGTAATGCTTAAATGCAAGATCTATACGTTTAATTCCAATATATCCTAAAGCATTATCGCCTCCATGGAAACAAGCAGAAAAGTTACATAGTGCACCTTTAAGCCAAGTAACCGAGTTTGCAAATAGAATTTTACAGATTTTTTTGTGGTCTGCATTAAGGATATTAGGGCTAATGATAATCTTACCTGGAGAATGAGTAGTGACGGTGGTGGAGGGGCTTATGGTGGGGCTAGTGGTTTCTGGTGTAGTGTGTGTGACTGAAAACAGGCAAAGACACAGACGGGACCAGCCTCACTGTTAAACACTGAAGGACAGGGGAGCACAGAGGACAGCCACACAACAGTACAGCAAGAAACTCACAACAATAACAATACACAACAGTAACATTATGAGCACATTTCAAGAAGCAGGTTCAGTCTAATACATTCTGTGGAAAGTAAAACAAAGGATTTTACAGTACTTTTAAAATATGCAATTCAAAAGATCAGTCTGTATGGACAATGTCAGTTAAATAGTAGAGGAGTGTATTATTATACTTGAGTCTTTTATTGAATTGAATACAGAATTCTCATAAAACTATGTTTCTTACTCAGTTATGTGATTTTGTAACATTTTGAATTATAATAGAAACATTAATCTATGGGTTGTGCTATGAATTTGGACTATGTCAAACCTGCTGGGCAAAGTGGGCCCACTGACAAAAATTACGATCACATAAACATATTTTGCCACAACAGTCTGCCACAACAGGCTTCACAGAGCTGTACCAAAACTGACAGATAAGGACCAAGACAAACACTGTACACAACTGACACAATGCACACAAATACACACACTAGACTGAAGCAGAGGAGGAGGAAAGAACTCACTAGCTTTGATGTTGAAGGCCATAGAGTCCTCTCCTAAAGAGCTGGTGGCGTTGCAGAAGACAATGACGTCGCCCGTTACCTTGACACTGACCGTACTAAGGACTCCATCGTCTGTTTCTGTTTCTGGAGCTGCAGGTAGGCTCTGTGGAGTGAACACAATGGTTTGGACAATGTAGGGCCAGAATCTATTGAGAATAAGTAATGGAGGGCTTATTGTTTGTTTTTTCTACTATTTTTCTTCTATTTCATACTTGCTCCTCTTCCATCTAATACTAAATTTCAGAAAAAAAATGAATGATGATGAAAAAATAGAAAAAGAGATGCATAGATGTTTACAAATTACAACTATCACATAAAAACTATCTGAAAAAAGTACTTTCTAGACAACCAAAGTATTTAAACTGCATTATTCATTCCACACTTAGGTAAGGGTGGTAAGTTACTATTGTAGATATTGTATTGTATTGTACTGTATTGTAGCAGCTAATCTATTTGCTCCTCTGACCACCCCTATCGCTCACACACAAACACTAAGCAATGTGGGTGAAGTGTCTTGAGTAACCCCACATTGTCATTTCCATTAGAGTCACTGCTGCCCTCATAGTGGGCACCTGGTATTCCCAGAGGTCTCTCACAGACATAAGCATCCAAGTGGAAGCTAAACAAGGTCATGCTTAGCTTCTGAGATCTGACCTGATCAGCCACTGACAAGGAAGGGTGGCCACGATGATCTTATTTTCAGGAACTTTGGCATATAAAGTAAAACAAATATCAAAAACATTGATTTTGGTTTCCTTGACAAGTCAGAGCTACTGAAATCAGATTTACTTTTTACTATTTACTTTCACAAAATTAAACTATGACGTTCTCCCCCAGAAGATACCTCTCCCTCAGATGTGGACCAGGTGACAGTGGGATAAGGGTATCCTCGGACATAGCAGTTGAGGTCCACTGTCGTGTCCATGCTCTCTTCTATCTCAGTACTGACTGGAGGCAGGATCTCAGGTTTGCCTAAACACAGAGATGACCATTTAGAAATGTTTCCCTACAGTAAATTCAACATCATAAAGTGATACCACACCCTGAATGTAAACTCGGAGTGTCCCAATCCTCTCCAGTCCTTCCACTTCCTGTGCCGTCACCACGCACACGTAAGTCCCAGCTGTGTCGAATGTAGCATCATTTAGGATCAAAGTATGGCCTTTGGCAACCTCCTCTCCATTCTACAAATCCAGTAAAAGAAAAAGAATAATTCATAGCCACATTACTAATCATATAAACAATGAGTTGTAATTGATGATGTGTATTCCACTTTCTACATCATTCATGCAGTTCTCTCTTGTTTAGTTTTAGTGTAGTCTCTGTTTTATTCATATGAACACTCCATGCTGGTGTACTGCAACACTGTAACAACTTAAATACATTCAACAATAATGAAAAATGTTTAAATAGATTTTTAATTGGAACACTTTTTTTCCAATGTACAAATTATAGAAAAATGCTATCTATGCTTTGGTATATTACAGTATGCCCTGTCAGTATGTCCTGTACTAATGATATGATTAAAAGTACTAATAAGACTAAGCTGTTGAGAGTCAAACCTTAAACCAGGATGTTTGCGTTGGCAGAGAGGACATGGCATTGCATGTTGCCTGCCCTTCTTCTCCTTGAGGCACTTCAATGATTTTCTCAGGCTTAATCACAACATCTTCTAGATCTGCACACAACAGGAAGTATACATGGAAATATTACTGTTATGCAGTCACTCCCTACACATTATTCATCCACAAAGACTTACAGTTGACAAATACTGTAATGTTTTCAGTGATTTCATTAAAGCTTTCCATGTCCAAAGCAGTACAGACGTACTCTCCAGAGTTCAGACGGGTGACATTTTCAAGCACTAATTCACTGCTGTCTGATGATAACGTCTACATACATGCACATATGTATTAATCATTTCATCAACATAGAATATTTGAAAATTAAATTTTTATTGTTCTTTTATTACCTGTTTGCTGTTTATAGAGAAGGAAGTGTATGGATTATTGCCATCACCAGAGCAGTGGATCACCACGTTGTCACCCTCCTTGATTTGACCTTTTGGTGACTCTACCCACATTTTTAGAGCAGTGTGTGGATCTAAAAGATGCATAACATAATATTTTTTCACACAAACAGTTTGAATCAAGGCATTACAGCTGACTTGGTATTAAACTTACAGTACACAGTGATATTGATAGGACTTGTCTCAACCATTAGAGTCTCCCCCCCAGGAGCAAAGTAGGTAATCTCACAAGAGAAGAGAGCATCTGCATCCTCTTTTATAACTTTCATGGACAATTCACTTTTCACTGAGTATAGCCCACTGGATTCAGTTGTGATGCTAGGCGAAACGCGCACTTCTGTAAAAAATAATGCACTTTTAAGAATGAGAACATCTGCATTGTAAGGAATGGCTTTATTCAAGTGCATTACCCTCAAGACTGCTGCGTATTGGTGTTTTGTCTTTGTACCATGTGATATTTGGCTTAGGATAGCCATTTTTGACTTCGCAGGTCCCAATCTAAAAAAACAAAAAAAATTTATAATTCAGTATACATCATTTAATACAATGTTCTCATACATATATACATACACACATGATGCAAATGTGAAATATTCCATGTATTTGTTAATTTTTAAATTATGAAACATTCAGCAGATTTTATGTCAATTCGATATTTTTCTGTCTTGTCCGTTACCTTGCCTTACTTTGACACAGTTTTTAACACAGTCCTATAGACCCCCCCAAACCTTTATCCAATCATGTAGGGTCATGAACATAAAACATAAAATAACAGCGCATTTATAACAACAGTTTTAAAGACAGGAACAAGGTTTTTAACATTTTCATTACTGCAGGTTGCAACAATACTTACTTTTGACAGAGTGTCTTCATTGATGGAGATCCCTTTTTGTGCTCCTACAATGGTGGGTGGGGCTGGGGCTTCTGTGTGAAGAATCAATACTTGATCATCAGTAATGTGAAATACAACCGATATCTAAATTGAAGAGAAACCTACGAAACACTCTGAGCTTGGTCCTCCCCTCCGCGGTGCCATCAGTGAGACTTTTGACGATACAAATGAATTCTACTTCGTCCTTTAGTTGGACATCGTCGATAGTTAGCACCACCTCTCCAGTGGCCCCGGTCCCATTCACACTGATCCTGTCTGAGAAAGGCGTTCCTTTCTCTGGGTAACTCATGCCGCTCTCAAGGTAGTAGATCCGCTGCTTCTCTCCTGTTCGTGTCACCTTGGCAACAAGACAGCAGCGGTCAGCTTCACAAATGCATGTTACTGTTAATTAAGTAGTTAAATAGTACATATGTGGTTTAGGTATTTACTTAAGTACATATTACAGTGGATACTTTTTACTTTTACTGCATTACATTTGAGCACATGTATCTTTACTTTCTTCATTACATTTTAGATCTTGACCGAAAAGTAAAAGTACTTTTCTTTATGGTTTGAGCTGACATGGTTGAGACTTATTTTTAGCACATTTAATTTGAGTTAGATTCCAAATTTTGAGCAAACCAAACACACAAAAACACAAAACAGCAAAAAATTTACAAATCAATTGAATCACTTAAAATCCGCTAGCTCATTATCAACATTACTAAAATCTAAATCTCTCTGCAAAATACTTTTACTTTTTACTCTTTAAGTACATTTTTAAAGAGGTACTTTAATACTTTTACTTAAGTAGATATTTTCATGTGATACTTTTAATTTTTTGTCCTGGTATCTGTATTTTTATTTAAGTAACAAAATTGAGTACTTCATCCACCATTGATGTATAGTGTGGTGGTACTTACATAAAACCACTGAATAATGTTTCCCCCGGGCCCATCCTCTGTCAAGAATATGCAGGTGATCTGTGCAGTATCTCCCAGCCTCACATCCACCCTGTCCTCCATGTTGACTTCTGTAATGGCCCATGCTGTAACACACACAAATATATTTATTCAGTAAACATGGAAAACAATATTTATACTATGAATACTATTACAGCTCTACATCCTTTATACAGATTACGTGACAACTTCTACGATGTTAAGAAAGAGAATAATCATGTCATACAGTTTATTCCATGTAGTTGTACTATTATTATTATTTAGTCAGTCATACACATTGTCTCCTCATTTACTATTCATAATATTGCTCATAAACTCACAAACACAAATAAAAAAAAAAAAAAAATCACACACAAAAAAACAGTCATTTCTTTTCACAACTCAGAATTGTCTGCTTCACCTTATATTAAGTTGAGGTAAATATGAGCTACCAAACTAACAACACTAGTATTTTCTTGAAATAAAAATACAAATCTGAAATACATATATTATTCCCTCTTTGATGAGATACAATTTAAGACAGAGAGTGTTTGAATTTGTGAAAACTTACTTTGGTCAGTTATATTGTCAAATGACTCATATTGGTAAAGACAAACAATATAGCATAAATTGAGCTTCACAGGGAAGACGATCTGCAATGACAGGAATGAGTAGCCCACCCATGTCCACATGCATTCCTCTATGGCACCCTCACACAGGAAGAAAGGCTCAATTTACAGGAGTATAGAAAGCCCACTGTTCCGCTCTATGCATGTCTGAGGAGCACTAACTCTCTCCCCACAGCGCTCTAATTTATGACGCATCCTCAAAGTAGTCTCCGACAATCCCGGTTACTCTTTACATCCGTGTGGTGTAGACGGACAATACAAACCGTTTCCTGACTTTGTGGGAATGCCATGTTTGATTAAGACCTTTAGCCGCACAGGGAATCACTCGAGATGATTAATTTACTCTGGGAAATTACTGTGGAAATTAGAGCCAAGACTTAATATAGATCAAAATGCTAATTTGATGCGTGTCCTGCACTGACCTTTTCTTCAATGACAGCGAATGAATATGCATCAGGGCTCTGCAACAGACTTTAGTTGTTGATCGTTCAAATTAAATAAATCACCTTTCGGTTAATTATTATATAGAACTTTTTTTAGCATAATTTTAGTTTATATTTTGGACTATGTTACAATCTAATTTAGGTCTGATAAACTCCGGGTTTCAATCTGGTGGTACTCAGAAAGCCACATTCTATCTTATGTAGTAGCTTACTTGGTGTGAAAAGTTAAACAACCGCCATCTTAGAGAACTCTGTTTTAAAGTCTGAATTTGAAATATGCTGGATTAACTATTCTTAAATATTCTTCTACAAATTCAGTGTGGAGAGCTCAGGCTTGATTAAAAAATGACCATGTTGATTTTTGGGGGGACTGTAAAATAAGTAAACAAATTAGGGCAGAAATATTCCTAAAAAACGTTTTTGGGTGATTGCAACATCTTTTTAAAGAGTCGTTGTGTCCTCAGAAACTGTTGTTGTGTCCTCAGCCAAGACACTTCACCCACATTGCCTAGTATGAAAGTGGTGTGTGCGTGAGTGATGGTGGTGGTCGGAGGGACCGATGGCGTCAGTTGGCATCGCAGCCGCGCTTCTGTCAGTCTGGCCCAGGGCAGCTGTGGCTACAATTGTAGTTTACCACCACCGGGTATGGAGTGAATGAATAATGCTGACTAATGCTCTGTAAAAGCGTCTTTGTGACATATGTCTGTGAAAAACGTTATAAATAAAGACTTACTTATATTTTTTATCAGATTTTTTGCAGCTTTTTGTTTTATTTCCCATTATGGATGATATTTGATGACAGAATTTTGCATAGCAACTATTATCTAGACAAAAGGTATCCCACTTATAATTCAAAAGTCCTTTCAACCCTTAATCTAACCCGATTTTAACATTGAACCTGGCACTGGATTTGCTCATCTCAACAAAATCTCCTGTTTTTACTCTGGGTCCATCTCCTCCACTTTGCCTGGCTTCTGCTGCTGTTTACCCCCCGCATAATGGAACAGGACAGATGCTTTCCTGTTAAAGAAATCCAATTAGTCTCTCTAACATTCACATTTCCGGGCCATTAGCAACAATGAAGGACAATGCTGACTCGCCCACCCCTCCCCCACCTGACAGCTCACCTACAGGACAACTAAATTAAAAAGTAGTTATGAGTTTGGGTTTGTTGGAGCTATATTGAACTGGACACACAGGCCCACAGGAGGATCACAGTCAGATAGCATTTGTAATCTGAACACTGATTGGTGCGTGGAGTGTATCAATATGAGAAGCTCCTATTACAAGGCCTACATCGATCACAGCTGATTATGAGACAGCACATAGTCTATGCATATTAGATAACCGCACTAAATCAGAGTTGACAGAGCATTCCCCTTGGCAATGATGCAAGACAGAGCTGAAAGTTAGTGCAGGAAATAGCAAATGAAATAGAATGACCAAGCAATATTGGAGAAGTAAAAATACAAAAGTAAAAATAACTGTGTTGGATCTATTTTGACAATGATTATTCTATTTAAATTGTATTCAATCAAAATGTTATGACAAATATGGTATAGAAAGACAATACTAATTGAGGTATAAAAGGTTGCAACTCATTATATGCCACCACCAAAACATGACAAAATTATTATGTATTTGTGAAGGAACATTGACCAAAAAGAAAAGCACAATATGCAACGTTTCTGGTAGAGCGTCTGCCACCTGTTTTCTCCTTAGAGATTTTATAGCTATGCCTAGAATGCCCACAGTATGTCTTTAAACTTAATCTATCTTCATGGAGGCAAGCAACCCAGCAAAGTAACAGGTCAGATCTGTGGAGCGGCACAGTCAGAATGCATGTTTTGAGCAATAAAATACCCATAATGATAGATGTATTTATGCCATACTGTGGAACATTTTAGGCGAGGCAATAACATCTCCATAAGATGAGCAGGTGTTGGACCTTCCACCCAGGAAAAATACATAGTGCACCTTTAACCAAAATAGTACAATTCAATATTGCATCTGCTATTTGTGTACCTGTTACTGGCAAATAGACCTAATACAGTGATGTTGAGAAACGACCATCAAATTCAATAACCTTTAAAGGTCGTATATAACACAAAATGGATTGTAGTGAGCTTTCAGCCATGTGAAAACAGTGTTACCTTCTCAAAAACATACCCAGAGTTGCATTTTGTTTCATTCATGTTTGCGTAACCCTTCCACCTTGTGATGTCACAAAGCTGTAGTTTTGAATTTAACGGCTACCTTTTACCTTGTATGGAGTTTAAAAACACAGTGGAGCACTACCTGTATGACCATGTGACATCACAAGGTGGAACAGAGTGTTTCCAACACCCAGAAAAGGGTTTGTGTGTTAAACATGTGTAAATGAAACAAAACACAAAGTATGTTTCTGATGAGGAAACATTATAACATAGATCAGAAAATATGATTATATGGCCCCTTGAACAAACTTCTTTTCACTGCATATTATTATTGTAACATACCAAGTAACACACAGCATGCATGATTACTAACATAACTGCCAAAAAGGCTACAAAACATCCCTGTTAATATTGTCTTTAATAGCAAAATAAATCAGAGAGTTAAAAAGAATATTTGCTTCTGATGTATGAACATAATCTGAATGTAGGTCACATGCAAACACACTTTTCAATTAGATAATAAAGATTCAAAGAGTTTCTGACAGCAGCACTAGCTCATCTCAAAGGCAGAAATAAACATTTCCATCCCTCTAAATCTCGGCTCATCCCACGATAAGAGCGGACAGTATTCAGACAGCGCAACTAAAATGAGGCCCTCTTAAGATAACAAAGGCAAGCAACCCAGATAGTGTTATCACAAGAGGAAGTCCTATCAAACACATTGTGTATTATGAAAAACGGGTTGGATTTCACAGCAGACATAACAATCCCCTACTAAGACTATAGATATCACAAAGCTCCCTGTAAGTATTAATAAACAGTTCTAAATATGCTCTTTATTTATTTGAGTAGCTTTTGAACAGTTTGCTGGGTTTCTGGAATCTCAATGAGTTTTAATCTGGTTTAATAATGGGTAAATAAATAAAACTGTAATTCTTGTAGTTGTTTTTGACAACTTTACTCCTATTTAGTAATATATTTAACATTGTAACAGTACTTTTACTTGAGTAGTAAGTAATTTTCAAGATTTTGAAAAACTGCAATATCGTGAAATCAGCAATTATTATGAAATAAGTTTACTCCTGACTTTTTTACTTGCAGTTATGGTGTAATGTAACAATTGACACCATTTCTAAATTCACCTTTTAAAATTAGATAACATATCTTTACAAATGTAACTGAAGGCATAATGTCTTAAACAATAAAAAATAAAAACATAAAAAACAACATATTAAAAAAAAGGAAAAAGAAGTAAAGAGCTTTCCCTGTCTCCCAGTGAGATTATTTTTTGGCCATTTTGCCAAGCCCTACTTCAAATTACAAATCAGATGTTATATTTTAACAGTTACTCTTGCAGTTACTCTTACTTGATTAGCTGTTTTCCCAAATCATTTTTCTTCTAAGTATAAGTAATAAGTAATTTGGCTACCCTCACAATCTCCCATTTCCATTTATAAACAAAAAGAAATGATTAGCAGAGAAGAAGCCCACATTGGTTTACATCTTAAATCATGTGTTTATTTATTTTACGGCCACAGCACACGTTGACCCCACACGGCAGGCTTCTCTCTGACAGCCGTGCAGACGGATTGGGGGTGGCATGCCGCTGTTCAAAGGCCGGAATCCGTTTGGACTTTGTGGACATGAACATAAATGGGAGGGCGCGTTCCATATGTTTTGGCAGCAGGCCCAGACCACAGGTGGCTATCTGTGAAGGACTCCTGAATTTAGAGCAGATCATCGCACTTATGTTTTCATTTTCAAGAGCTTATCCTGTTAGAAGGTAGCCTTGCCAGCAAGACAAATTCTCTGGAATTTTTATGAGTGCACAAACACTTGAGAATCCAATGTGAACAGCTCCGGCTGAATCATTTA